TATTTTTGGGACAGAGAGAGACAGAGCATGAACCGGGGAGGGACGGAGAAAGAGGGAGACACAGAATCGGAAACAGGCTCCAGGCTCTGAGCCATCAGCCCAGAGCCCGACGCGGGGCTCGAACTCCCGGACCGCGAGATCGTGACCTGGCTGAAGTCTGACGCTTAACCGACTGCGCCACCCAGGCGCCCCGACGTTTATTTATTTTTGAGACAGAGAGAGACAGAGCATGAATGGGGAGAGGGTCAGAGAGAGAGGGAGACACAGAATCAGAAACAGGCTCCAGGCTCTGAGCTGTCGGCACGGAGCCCGACGCGGGGCTCGAACTCACGGACCGCGACATCATGACCTGAGCCGAAGTCAGACACTTAACCGACTGAGCCACCCAGGCGCCCCAGAGATCATGTAACTTCTTAACGCCCACCTGCACTCAGTGACTGCTCAATGATTGGACAGTATTGTGATCGATTTAATAGTCGCGGAGGGAAATGATTCTGTAGCCATCGTAGAGGTGCAGTGGAGGGCTTGGTAACCAACTAGGTTTGGGGGCAAGCAGAGAAGGAGAGTCCAGCGTGGCACTCAGGTTTGTGGACCTGGGTCTGTGGAAGGAAGGGCTGGGTCAGGGAGCCCTGGGTTTGAACATTCAGAGCTTGCGGAAGTCTAGAACGTGAGAGGGGAGGGGTGTCCAGGAAACTGCCAAATGAGTGTGGGGGTCTCATTTCAGGTCTGTGAAGCCTCCTCCGTGCATCAGGGACAATTTCAGCAGGCATTGCAGAGTGAGAGTATAGCCGAGGCTGGGGGTCTGCAAGGAGCCAGAGGGGAGCAGGAAGGGACAGTGGTGTGGTGTCCTGGACCGCAGGGAGGGAGCACGAGGAGACGGGGATGCAGCCTGGACAGGGGAGTCGGGAAAGACCAAGTTCCCCTTGGACTTTATAGCTTGTATTTTTGAGCACTTGGATTCTGCCAGAGCTGTGCCTTACTTTCTTTTTGTTTTAAAAAAATTTTTTTTTTAAATTCATTTTTGAGAGAGAGAGAGAGAGAGAGAGAGAAACAGCATGAGCAGAGCAGGGGCGGAGAGAGAGGGCAACGCAGAATCCGAAGCAGGCTCCAGGCTCCGAGCCATCAGCACAGACCCCGATGCAGTGCTCAAACTCAGGAAGGGTGAGATCATGACCTAAGCCGAAGTCAGACGCTTGACCGACTGAGCCACCCAGGTGCCCTCGGGGCCTTGCTTTCAAAATAGTCTTGCTTTGTGGAGATCTAACTCAGCATGCAATCCATCCATCTCAACTGTACAATTCAGTGCTGTATTTGCAGAGTTGTGCAACCATCATCCCTATGTAGGGATGTTGCTTCACTGCAAAAGATGTTTCTAGGATGTTTCTTCACTCCAAAAGAACCTTGGCCCCGTTAGGAGTCCCTTCCAGGCTTGCCCTCTTTCCCTTAACGTAACATCGTCCACGTTCATCAGTTCATCGGGTTGTAGCAAAGAGTATTTCATCCTCTGGGAAGAAGACATTGTGTTTATCCATTCATCAGTTGATGGATGTAGGAGTTGTTTCCTCTTTTGGGGGTATTATAAAAATGCTACGAGCATTCCCGCACACAGATTTGTGTGGATGTTTCATTTCTCTTGGGCGTATACCTGGGAGCGGAGTTGCCGGGTCACGTGGTGACCGTATATTTAAACTGTTGAAGAAGGTGGACAGGCTCTAATTTCTGCACGTCCTCATCCGTCCTTGTCATTTATCCCGTTGATCGTGGCCATCGTGGTGGCTATGATGTGCTGTCTTAGTATGGTTTCAGTTTGCTCTTCCCTGATGGCTCATGATATTGAGCGTCTTTCCATGTGCTCATTGGCCATTGTGGTGTCTTTGGAGAAACTCTATTTGAGGCCTTTAAATTGGGTTATTTGCCTTCATTACTAAGAGTCTTCGTACAGTCTGGGTACAAGTCCCTTATCAATACGTGATTTGCAAATAACTTCCATTCTCTGGTTTGTCTTTTCACTTACTCGTTGGCATCCTTTGCAGCAGAAGATTTTATTTTTGTTTTTTGATGAAGTTTAAGTTAGCTACTTTTATAGCTTGTGCAAGAAGGCTTTGGCTCACCTCAGATTGTAAAGATTTACTCCTGCATTTTCTTCTTAGAGGTTTTCGTGTTAACTTGTACATCTAAGTCTGTGTCCCTTCTGAGTTCAGTGGTGTGTGTGTGTGTGTGTGTGTATGAGAGAGAGAGAGTTGGCCCTCATTCCTTTGCACGTGGGCATTGGGGTGCTGGCACCGTTTGAGAAAAGACTGTTCCTTCCCCATGACGTTGTCTTGGCGTCCTTGTCCCAAAGCAGTTGACCCTACATTTCAGGGTTTACTTCCAGACTCTCAGTTCTGTTCTGTCCGTCTACACACATGTGACTTTCTACCGACGCCATGATGTTTTCGTCACTGTCACTTCTCAGCAAGTCTTGGAATCAGGCAGAATGGATTCTCCAACTTTGCTCTTTTTCCAGACAGTTTTGTCTATTCCGGGTTCCTTAAATTTCCACATGGATCTTAGGATCGGCTTTTCGATTCCCACAGAACAAAGCCAGTTGGGATTTTGACTGGGGCCACAGGGGCTCTGCAGATCACTTGGGGAGTGTCGGCTTTGCGACGACATCAAGCCCTCTGATTCATGAATGAGGGGGGTGCCTTTCCATTTATTCAGGTCTCAGGTTTCTTTCAAAAATGCTTTACACTTTTTTTTTATTGAATTTATTGTTTTTGATGCTGTTGTAAGTTGAATTTTTTCTTAATTTCATTTTGGAGTTATCACTGGTATATAGAAATACAGTTGATTTTGTAGCCTGTAAACTGAGCAAACTAATTTGTTCTAATGGTTTTTTAGTGGGCTCCTTAGGATTTTCTATATACAAGATCATGTCATCTGCAGATAAGAGAGAGGTTTCTGATTAGAATGCTTTTGATTTCATTTTTCTTGCGTAACTCTGGTGGCTAGAATGCCCAGCACTATGTTGGTTAGGAGAGGCGGAGCGGACATCTTCGTCTTGGTCCCGATGTTCAGAGAAAGGCGATGAATCCTTACTGAAGTGTGAAGGTAGCTGTGGGTATTTGTAGACACCCTTTACCAGGTGGGGGAAGTTTCCTCCTGTTTCCACTTTGTTGAGAATTTCTCACGAAAGGGTGCAGGATTTTGTCAGATGCTTTTCCGGCACACGTTGGCACAATCGTGAATGTCTGTCCTTTATTCTGCTGGCGTGGTGTCTTACCCTGATTGACTTTCAGATGTTGACCTGGCCTTAATTTCCTGGGGCACGACTCCCTTGTCTCCCGCTGGCCTCATGGGTCACCCTGTTCCTGTCTTTTGGAAAACACTGTGGACATGGTATTTTTCTTTAAATGTTTGCTACAATTCACAATTGAAGCCCTGTGGCTTTTCTTTGTGGGCAGTTTATTGATTTTTTTTTTCACATTTATTTATTTTTGAGAGACAGAGCACAAGTAGGGGAGGGGCAGAGAGAGAGGGAGACACAGAAGCTGAAGCAGGCTCCAGGCTCTGAGCCATCAGCACAGAGCCCGACGCAGGGCTTGAACTTACGAGCCACGAGATCGTGACCTGAACCGAAGTCGAACACTCAACCAACTGAGCCACCCAGGCACCCCTCCCTTTTGAAATTTTTTTTTTTTAATGTTTATTTATTTTTGACAGAGAGCACGAGCTGGGGAAGGGCAGAGAGAGAGAGAGGGAGAGAGGGAGACACGGAACCCGAAGCGGGCTCCGGGTTCTGAGCTGTCAGCACAGAGCCCGACGCGGAGCTCGAACCTGTGAACTGGGAGATCATGACCTGAGCCCAAGTCGGACGCTCAACCGACTGAGCCACCGGGTGCCCCAGAATCATTGTTGTTTCCTTAGGCTCGGTAGTAATGTCCCCTTTTGGATTGGCTCAACCTAGCTAAAAGTTTGTCGATTCTGTCAGTCTTTCCGGAGAACCAGCCTCTTGTTGGTTTTCTCTGTCTCTCTCCTCTTTTCTGTTCTGGTGATTCACCGTCTTCACCGTCGAACGTCTGCTTGCGTTTGGTTTAGTTTGTGCTGATGCCTCTCCATCACAAGGTGGCGCCTGTGGAGGGGGACTCGGGCTTGGGAGCTGCCCTCCCGCAGCCCCGGGAGCCCCAGAAAGTGCCGGCCGAGCTTCAGATTCTCCGTCCCTCAGCAGGGACGTGAGCGTGGGCTTGCGCTTTGGGGGAGGGTTCCAGAAGAGACAGTCCACAGGGCGCGGTCCCCAACAGCCACTCGGGTGCTCGGAAGGCCCCGTCCCACCTTGCCCCTCTCACGTGGAAACAAACACATGAGGTTGTTTCATCAAGAGATGAACTTGTTTCATCAAGTTCCCATTTGCTTCTGGGCGAAATTGAGCAACTCAGAGCCCAGCGTCCTAGATGGCGTCCACCGGGGTGGGGGAGGGGGCGGGGGTGTCCACGCCCCGGACTCCGCTCTCCCGCCGCTCCTCGAATCCAGTGGGAATCCACGGCGGGAAAGGAGCACTCCTCTGAGAAGACCCGGGAGGATTGTTTGGTCAGGAGGGCTGGGCTGCAAGGTGCCCGCTTCGTGGGTGGGAAGCCAGATGTGTGTCCGTCGGGAGAGTTCGGGGCAAAAGGCTGTGTTCAAAGGCTCTCTGGCAGGTGTCCCGTGCCCTGGCGGGCCGTCCTGTGCGGCCAGAGTGGACTGGCCGGTGTTGGCCGGACTCCAGAGGGCGGCTTCCCGGACCGCGGGGTCGATGGCCTTCGGGGGTGGGTCCGGTGGCCCCGAGAGGGCGAGGCGTCCTCTGGCCTCAGCTGCCCGGGGCTGCCTCCTGACCTTCTCTCTGGGGAAGGGGGGCACGAGGTCTCGGGCGGTGACCGACTCTTGCCGGCCCTTCCGAGCCCGTCTGTGTTTGTCCCGCCTGTCGCGCGGCTGCGGGTGGCCGAGCGGGCACGGCGGCCGACTCTGGTGTCCGCGTCCCGCAGGCTGACACGGTGCGATGGCGGCCCCGTCGGAAGGCGATGCTGCCTCCCTGCTGCCGGACCTGCCCGGGGGACCCCTGCAGGCCTACCGCGCCCGCGCCTCCTTCTGCTGGAAGGAGCTGGCGCTGTTCCTGGAAGGCGAGGACATGCTGCGCCTGAAGGTGAGGCTCCGGGCGGCTTGCCAGGCATCTGACTCGCGGGCACAGGGGGCCGTGCGGCCCCTAAGGACCCTAAACACCGTAGCTGGCCCCTGGCCTGGCCCGTGTCCTCGGAGGCTCCCCCGCCCCGGGCGAACACAGGTTGGTTAAGCTTCTGAGGCCTCAGGTCCCCGTGCCTGCGGCCGGAGGGGCCTTCGTCCGCCCCAGGGTTGCAGGGGTTGCCCGTGTCCCACGGCACCAGCGGCCTCGGGAAGAGCCTGAGTGAGAGCGCGGCGCATGGCCGTTCTTTGCCTTCGAGCCGGCCGTTCCCGTCTCTCGCATTTCCAGAAGAGCATCTTCTCAGCCCTGGAGGATGACCCCCTGTTCGCCCGCTCCCGCGGCCACGAGCTCTCCCTGGAGAAGCACCGAGAGCTGACTTTCCTCCGCTGCAAGCGGGTCTTGGAGCGCGCCCTCCTCCGCGTGGAGGACATGGTGCGGAACCCGCTGTCCGTGCTGACGCTGATCACCTGCCTGGGCACGTACGACTGGTCCCTGGCTCAGAAGTTCCTGCTGCACCTGCTGGTGAGTGGGCGGCGAGGAGGCCAAGGGGATCGAGCCCTTCACGCCCCACGTGAGGCGGGGGAGGGCGCCGTCGGGGGCCGGGTGGGAGGAGGAGGTGCAAGAGAGGGTCCTCAGCGCACGAGGGGCAGATGCTGCCCGCGGGGTGTGGCGGCGGCTGGTGTTTGCTCGCTCGTAGGGTTTCGTGGGGTGTGTGTGTCTGGGGGAGGTTTCTTTAAGAGATTACTTTCTTGGGGCTTGAACTCGCGACGCTGAGACCAAGAGTCACGTGCTGTTTGTACCCATGGAGCCAGCCAGCCGTTGCTCTCTTAAGAGATTTCTAGAAACTAATATAGGAGGGGTGCCTGGGGGGCTCAGTCAGTTGAGTGTCTGACTTTGGCTCAGGTCATGATCTCACAGTCTGTGAGTTCGAGCCCCGTGTCAGGCTCTGTGCTGACAGCTCAGAGCCTGCAGCCTGTTTCAACTTCTGTGTTTCCCTCTCTCTGCCCCTCCCCCTGCTGACACTGTCTCTGTCTCTCTCTCTCTCTCAAAAATAAACATTTAAAAAAAATTAAAAAATAAAAAAATAATATAGGAAGCGAAACCAGAGATTAGAATGTGTGGGCAGATCTCGTGATGTTTGAGGGAGAAGTCCAGCTCCTTCCGGCTGTGTGTGCAAATTTGCACACGTGAGTCCTCGACGGGAGTGCCAAGCAGTGAAAACTCCAGAAGAGAAGGAACTTTGGGGGACTCTTTTGCTTTTATGCCAACCCCCCCCCCCCCGGGCAGGCAAAAGCAGGGAGGGAAGGGAAAGCAGGTCTGGGGAGATGCCAGTGCCCCCCGCCGGCACACGGGCGGAGGTGGGGAGGTGTGTGTGGCTGGGTGGGACATGTGGCCCGTGTGCACCCTTTTCCCTCCTCTTCCCTGTCCCCTGCCGTCTCCCCCCGTCCGCGGCCCCTCGGGACCTCCCGAAGGCATCTGAAGTGCTTCTGCTGAGCATACCAGACGCGGATTCCATCCCCCCCCCCCCGCCCACTTCCCTGCCACGGGTGTCAAAGCGCGTGTGGCTCCTGAGGCCCCGGGACCTCAGAACTCCTTGACTGCCACCGGTTTCTCTGATGATTCTATATTTTCAGGTTTTTGGATTCGCGATTTACAAGTCTGGCTCCGAAAGACATTTAGAATACCTTCCCAAGATCCTCAACATGGAGGTGAGCTCAGAGTCCCGGCGGACCGTGAGCCCGTGGTCCCCAGATGTCTCTGCAAAGGGCCGCGTGCCAGAGGAGGTTCCGGGGGGCCGTGTGCGCCGAAACCCCAGCACCCGGTGCATTTAGCTTGTTGCTGTCAAAGCGAGGCCTTCCCTTTCCTTCCACGGCCCTGGCAAGGCGGCTGTCACCTCACCTAACCCACCGTCCTCACAGGCTGGGGGACGTGGTGTCCCTAATACCCTGGTGGGTTGGGCGGGGGAGCGGGGATTTAGTGCTTTGACCTGGGGTTTTGTCCTTCGAGGAAGGACAGCAGTGGGTCCCTCCTGGAACCTTTCTTGCCTTACGTTGTTTTGTGCTCCCACGTTAGATTTTTGGATGTTTTGCTGTGACTGAAGTAAGTCACGGGAGTAACGCCAAGGCCATCAGAACGACCGCTCACTACGACCCCGCCACGGAGGTAGGTGTTACGTGTGCGTCGCGTGTGATGCGGTGTCCTTACGCCCAGAAACCCGTCTTTAGACGCGTGTGCTTCTACCTTGCACATGGAGACTCCTCACCCGGGAGGGTGGCGGCTCCTGGGGGGAGAGGTTCCTTTCTTTGTTCACCTGCCTGCTGGGGTTTGGACGCGGCCCGGTTCGTTTACAAAACCAACAGCGTGAAGAAGAGTCTCCCCGGCGCTGGTCTTTGCTGGCTGCCCCTGCCCCCTGTGCGCGCCAGGCTCCGCCGGCCGGGGCCCGCCTCGTCCACTCCTGCCCCCGTGTCTGGCCCCTCTGGCCCCACCGCCCTCCTGCGTCCCGTGGCCCGCATACAGACGTGTGTGGCATTTGCGCCGTTGGCCGCTGCCTCCCGTGTCCACGTCTCCGTCTAGCACGTCCCTGTGCAGGTGTCGGTCCCAGCACGGTGCACTCGCGGGCTTTGTCCTCGCTCTCGGGGAGACACGTGTCCGCAAATGGGATCGTGATTTATCGGGTGGTCGGTGGCGCGGAGGGAAGGGAGGGCAGGAAGAGGATGGGGTGCACGGGTCGGGAGGCTTCCGCCCGTGGCCTCTGTGCTGTGCCGCTCCCACCCCCTGGACCCTCTCCCGCCGCCGGGTCAGTCTCGTTCGCTCCTCCGAGGACCGCGGTCCCCGCTGCTCGTTCTGCACCTGCCCTAGAGTTCCAGGAGCCCTTCGCCTGCCCCTTGTCGGCAGTGTGGTTTGCAAGAGTCCGTGTAACGGAAAGTAAAGCCCTGTGCTTGTGTATTTGCTTCTCATTCCTTCCTTCGTGCGTTCAGTGATGTGGGCTCCGTGCACACTGTGTGCTGAGGGGCTGTGTGCCAGCAGAGCAGAGCCATGAAGCCGAGGGGGGCTGAGGCGGGGCAGGGCAGGGCCAAGGGGAAGGTGGTCGTGGTGCAGTGCCCGTGGTCCCGTGTGCCAGAGAGTGGCGGAGAGATGGCAGAGAGCCATCGGCGACAGCCCTCTTCGGTTTTTTATTGGCCTTTTAGCCACCAGGTACCTTTATCCGAACCCAGATTTTGCTGGCCCGGCCCCGTCTCTCTTCTCTGCCCTCTGGTGCCGAGGGCTCTCGGTGCTAAGTGGGGAGGTGGAGAGGGCGGATCCCACGTGGCCTCGGGGCCTGGGCGAAGCCTGGCCGTCCATGGGGCAGCCTGCTTCTGACCTGCTTCCTCTCGGCACCTGTGCTTAAGTGAGCAAGATGTCGGAGCGGGGGAGATTGGGAGCCCGAAGTCCTCTGTGGGCCGCTGGTCGGGCACCTGCTACGTGCCGGGCACTGCTTTCAGGGACCGGGCAGCTAGCGGCGAACGTGACACGTGAATCTTTGCTCTGGGGGATCCCTCGTGCCGGAACGGAGACACGGACGGACAGCCGCAAGAAGTTAGGTGTGCCAGGGGGCCGTGGAGACCTGGAGGGGACAGTGGCGGTATGCCACATGCAGGGAGGACGCCTGCAGAGGGGGGAGCAGAGGGGGGACTCCAGTCCCCCATCCCCCCCGCTTTTCTTCGGTGGGGCGTCAACATCTGCGAGGTAGTCACACGGTGCGCTTGGAGGCCGTGACCCCGTGCACACCGCTGGGCGGCACGAGGGGGTTCCCCGTGTGCCCTTCACAGCTTCCCACCCGCGGGGAGAAGGACACCCGCCGGGCTCTGCCCGCAGTGGCCCGCAGGTTACACGGGAGGCAGCTCGCCGTCACACCCTGGCTTTGTCCAGCTGTCAAGCTCCCCGCCCAACGCTGGAATCGCTCACAGGCTCCCCTACCCCACCCGACTCATGGACCCTCCCGGCCCCCAGCCAGGGCCCCTGCCCCGTGTCTCCCCTGCTCGTCTCCTGCCTTGCTGAATACCCGGCAAGCCTCCCGGCCCCTCCCGTGACCCCTGGGTTCACTCACCCTGATGTCTTGAGGTGCCTTGTGCTCCTGGGCACATGGCCCTCATGGAGCTCGTAGGCGGGGGGAGACCGTGGGAAAAGAAGGTCTGTCGTTGGTCAGAGCCCAGGGAGGGGTCAGGGAGGAGCGCACAGAGGAGGGGCCGTGGAAGACGAGTGTCGCGGCGACCGCTCCGTGGGCACCGGCCGGCTTCTGGAGAAGTTGGCGTGTATTTCATCGTCTGACCCCGGAGTGGTTTTCCGTACCAGTGTCTTCGTTAAGTCACAACACCCAGGGATATGCTCCGTGTACGGGCCCCCCCTCCTGCCACACGGGAGCTAAAGCGTGCGCTCGGTTCTGCTCTTCTTCAGGGACTCTGAGCAGAGAATGTGGGATTCTGCACGTGTTTGACTTGTTCACTGCAACTTGGACTACAGCTCTAACCTTCCCTTCCCCCTTGCGCAGGAGTTCATCCTACACTCCCCGGACTTCGAGGCCGCCAAATTCTGGGTCGGCAACATGGGCAAGACGGCCACCCACGCCGTGGTGTTTGCCCAGCTGTACACGCCCGGGGGCCGCTGCCACGGCCTGCATTCCTTCTTGGTGCAGGTGAGGGGGCTCTCGGCGGGGTGGTCTCACCCACGGGCGCTCGGCGTCACCGGCAGGCGCCTTCATCGCAGCTGGGGCGGGGGCGCCCCTGGCGTCCAGTGAGCACGCGGCAAGGACGCGGCGGACGCCCTGTAACGCACAGGACGGCCTGCCCACCCCCAAGAGGCAATTATCCAGCCCCCGATGGCGGTGGCCCGGGCTTGGTCAACCCTGGTCTAGACCTGAGGTCATCTGAGGCAGAGTCGTCCTGTTCCTCCGGCGGCCACGTCGCCATCTTTCCAGACACTCTTCGCAAACCTGGGCTTCCCGGCCCCGCCTTCCTGCGGTTCTGACCCAGCACGTCCGATGTGGCCTCTCGTGCCGACCTAAAGTGCTGACCTTGACGTCTCCTGTGCCCGGGCCACACGCAGCAGCTACTGCCACGGGGGCGCCTGGGACCGATGGCCAGGCCTGGGCTTCCTGCCTCCCTGGTGGGGCCTGTCTCCCGACCGCCCGGGGCTGCTGCGGTGTCCCTGAACCCGGAGCTTCCGGAAGCTTGTCCGGGCCTTCCTGTCCTGGCCACCTGGATCCTGACCGAAGCCCCGCTGCCCTGCACCCCAACCCCACTCTGGCATTCTTGTTAAGACCTTCCGGGTGAGGGGCCTCTCGGAAGAGAAGAAAGTAAGCCATGTCCCTTTGTCCTCATTGAGGTGAAATTCAAGTAATACGAAGTGAACCGAAATTCAGGGGCCTTTGGTGCCTTCCCAGTGTTGGGCATCCGCACCCGTGTCTAGTCCTAAAGCGTTTCCGTCTCCGGGAGGGCGCCCCGCACCCTTCCTCGCCCCCCCGCCCCCGGCAACCGCTCGCCTGCTCTCTGCCTCCACGGATTCGCCTGCACTGGATGTTCCACACGCAAGGAACCCTCCAACACGAACCTCTGTGCCTCAGCCTGTTTTCTGAAGGCCATCCACGTTGTCAGAACGTGCTCAGTATGTGTTAGGATTTCCGTGCTTTTTAAGTGGGGGGGGATAAGCCTTCGTGTGCATGGACCGCAGTTCGTGCACCTGGTTGCTGATGGGCATTCTGGCTGTTTCCACCTTGTTTCTGTCGTGAACGTTCATGAGCACCTGTCTGTCTGACCACGTGTTCTCCGTTCTCGGGGGTCCACGCCCAGGAGTGCAAGTGCCGGGTCCTGGGGTGATTCCGTGTTTAACTGTTGGAGGAACTGCTGTACTGCTTTCCACGGTTCTGCCAATTTATACTCCCATCGGTAGCGCGTGAGGGTTCGGATTTTCTCATATCCTCGCCAATATGTATCTTCCTTTTTTTCTTAAATACGCACACGAGTGGGCATGGTAGTATTTGTTTTTTTGTTGTTGTTTTTTTTAACATTTATTTATTTTGGAGAGAGACAGAGACAGGATGCGAGTGGGTTAGGGGCAGAGAGAGAGGGAGACACAGAATCCGAAGCAGGCTCCAGGCTCCGAGCTGTCAGCACAGAGCCCGACGCGGGGCTTGAACCCACGAACCGTGAGATCATGACCTGAGCCAAAGTCGGATGTTTAACCGGCTGAGCCACCAGGCGCCCCTGTTGTGCTTTTGATGTGCATTTCCTTTTCCTTTTTTTCTTTTTGGAGAGTGTGCACAGGGGAGAGGGGCAGAGGGAGAGAGAGAATCCCAAGCGGGCTCCACACTCAGCACGGAGCCCGACGGGGGCGGGGGTGGGGTGGGGTGGGGGGAGGCTCAATCCCACGAGCCTGGGGTCACGGCCTGAGCTACAGTCAGGAGTCAGACGTTCCACCGACTGAGCCACCCAGGCGCCTCTTGATTCGCATTTTCTTCGTGACCAGCAATGCTGAACATCTTTTCGTGTGCCAGTTGGCCACGTGTATGTTGTCTTTGCAGAAATGTCTGTTCAAGTCCCTTGCCCTGTGGAAATAAGCCAAGACCTCCCTTATGGGAAAGGCAAAGGTTGTGTGCTCGGAGCTGCCTGGAGGGGGAGGTTTGGCCACTGTCCCTTGGGAGGTTGGGGCAGTGACTGAGTCTGGCCAGGGGAGTGGGCTTGGTTTTCTCAGGCTGGTGCTGGGCTGGCAGCAGGACAAGAGGAGAAGCTGTTAGCTCCCCGCCGAGCTAAGTGACCCCATCTCTGACCGACCGTCACAGGCGTCTTGCTTGGCCGCCTGCACTGTTTGCTGCGGGTTGTGGGTCAGGGCTCCAGTGTCACTGGTCGGGAGGCCGTCCATCGGTGCCATATGTTCAGTCTCTTTTCTTCTCTCTTTGAGTTTGTTTATTTTGAGAGAGAGAGAGAGAGAGAGAGTGCGAGTGCGTGCAAGCAGGAGGGGAGTGGAGAGAGAGGATCCCAGGCAGGCTCTGCACCGTCAGCACCGAGCCCGGGGATCGTGACCTGAGCCGAAATCGGGGAGTCGGATGCTCCACTGACTGAGCCCCCCAGGTGCCCTCGGTCCATTTCTGAAGTGGGCAGTTTGTCTCTGTTGTTGGGGTCTGAGAGCTCTGCGCACGTCCCGGAGGCCGCCCCCTTACCCGGTAGGTGGTTGTCTCCCGTTCCGATTTTCTTGTTCGTGTCCTTGGAGGCGCAAAGCGTTTTAATTCCACCCCCTTTACCCCTTGTTGCTCGTGTCCTTATTTTCGAATTCACATCGGAGCCACCGCAGACCAGGTTCACCTCAGGCCGCCCCCTGCTGCTTCTGGGTGTGTGCGTTTGTACCCGACGTGAACTTCTAGGGGGAAACTGGCTAGCTTTCGGCCCTGTTCAGTCTTTCTGTGCCGCGGTCGGGAGCGCGTGGTGTTTTGGACTCTTTACGCACCGTGCTCTAGGGACTCAGCAGGACTGTGTCGTGCCTCCATCCAGGGGAGCATTTCTGAGGCCGAGTGTGCGTCAGGCCGGGGCTCGCGGGGGTGGGGTGGGGTGGGGGGGCGCTTCCCTGTCCCCGTGGAGGGAGAGAGCTTCAAAGGAGTGATCACAAGACTCTTCTAGGGTTGTGACGCACCTCACAGGTCGCGGCCGATACGGCGCGGTTTGTCGCAGGTTGGGTCTATACCAGGCGGGGAGCCTTGGCAGACTGTGGCACTGTGATACGGAAATCCACGCGATCAGGTTTATTTGAGGAGTTTGACATTAACGCGTTCTGCCGTGGACTCAAGTCCGCCTCCTTTCCTTCACTGGGAGGTCGGTGTGGTATTTGGGGCCACCGCACCATCGTAGATTTCCCCGTGAACCAGAACCCACCCTGGCGGTATTTTTCTGTGCGATGACCCGGAACGCACCAGCTTTGTTTTCTTTTAGAGCCTCTTCTCTCCATGTGCACTTTCTTTCCAGCGATTTTCTATTTTAAAATGTTATAAAATGTAGTGCCTGAAGTGTCACTGGGTCTTACCGAAGAGTCGGAAGGGGGAAGAGTGTTTGCATTGGGGGTTCAGCCTTTGTTGTGCCCAAAATACCATTATCGTGATGATCAGTGTAGGCAGAAGAGTGTTCCTCTAAAATAAAAGTTCCCAATAGTGCAGACTCAGTATTTCAGCTCCCAGACGCTGTTGACCTTTGGGCTGGGTGATCCTCCTGTGGTGGGGCCGACCCGGGTCCCGCCCTCTGGGAGGGACAGCCAGCCGGCCTCAGGCGCCCTGGTCCCCGGCGGTTGGGGGGGAGGGTGCCGGCTCACAGCGGGTGCGGAATCGCCCCCCGTGAAGGTGTTCGGGGGGGACGCTCCGTGTCCCTGCACGGAGCTCGCCCAGTGAGAACTGTCGGCTCGCCGCACCTGTGCTTAGGGAAGCGTGTTTACCGGTCGTCCAAAGCCAATCTGGGGATGGTTCTCCCCCCGCACCCGGCCATCTTGTCATTCGCTACAGCCCGGCGCCAGCCCTGTGGCCGACTTGAACGTGACATGGATGTTCCGGACGGCCTCCAGGCTGCGGGGACTCCTCAGCTGCTGGCCCGGCACCGTTGTAGCCAAACGGCACGAACCGGGGCCTTAAAACGACAGGAGGTTACGGTCCTGGAGGCCGGGAGTCTGAGATCCGTGTCGAACCCCCCACCCCCCGCCAGGTTCTAGGGGACATCCTGTTCCTGCCTCGTCCCGGCCCCTGGTGGCTGCACCCTCTTCTCCCCACGTCCTCCCCTCCTCTGTCTCTCACAGGACACTTGTCATTGGATTTGGGGCCCAGCTGGGTCATCCGGGACCCCCTCGTCTCCAGATCCTTCACTTAATTACAGTCGCAAAGATCCCAGACGAGGTCACGTTTCTGAAGGGCACCACTTACCCCCTGCAGAGACACGAAGGGAGCCCACGGCTTAGTCACCGGGGTTTTGTAATGTATTCTTGAGATTTTTGTGTGGTCCTAACAGTTGCCGTTTGCGGCTTTCTGTGTCTCGTACAGATCCGGAACCCCAAGACCCTTCTTCCCATGCCGGGGGTGATGGTTGGCGACATAGGGAAGAAGCTTGGGCTGAATGGCGTCGACAACGGGTGAGTGTGTGCCCGGCCCCGATGGCTGCGGTCTCCTCTGCATGGTCATTAACCCGCAGGTGCTTGCTCGGCTCTCGGGTGCCTGCTGATTCCAGCTTGGGAGCCACCAGGACCCTCAGTGCTGTCCTCACCCTCCCGGCCGCCAGTGGGGCCAGGAAAGCGTGCTGGGACGCACACGTCACCTGTCACTTGAGAGCTGTGTCACATACACACCCTGTGTCACACCCTCTCTCACATGCACACAGATCGTGTCCAATGCACCCTGTGTCCCACGTACCCCGTGTCGTATACACATCGTGCTGCACACACTCTGGGGTCACACACCCCACGTCACAGCCCCTGTCACGCCCACACCCGCGGGCTGGCCACCATCTGTTTCTGGAACAGATTTTGTGGTCCGCACGTGCCCAGACGGGAGTGTGTGAGATTGTGCTTTCGGTCGAACTCCAGCAAATACTTGCACAAGTAGAAATGTGGCTCAGCCTTGTTCCAGCTCCTGTGGCACAACAGGGGAAGATTTTCCACTCCTTAAAAAGGGCGCTTGGAGTTTTCAGTCGTGCTCGAAGAAGCATTCCTCAGCTTTCAAGCAAGAAGCTGGAGCTCTCCGGGGGTGCTGGCGCTGAGTCCGCTCTTAAAAGGCGGATGGCTGCCCTCACTGCCCGGGGGGGCCCCGTCTGGGCCTCGTCTGGGCCCCCCGCAGCCTCCACCGCGCCCGGTCGGAGCCACCCCACGAGGCCCGGACAAGGCGGCCGATCCCGGCAGGGCCTCAGAGTCTCCCAGCGGGGCCCGTCTGCCGCTCCCCTTCGTCTCGTGCTCGGGAGGGCGGCCCGCGGAGGTTGGAGGTCCCCAGGGGCCGAGCATCCCTCACCTGCAGATCCCCTGGGCGCCTCCTAAGGAATTTGGGAGGGCGCCCCTCCTGCCCGCCCTGCGCACAGCCCGTCTCTGCTCTTCCCCGGGGTCCTGGAAGGCCGGCCTGGACGCGGGGAGTGGCGTAGAGATCAGCGGCACCCAGGGGACAGCGTGTCACCTGCTGTCGGCCCGCCTCGTGGCTCTCTCAGCATCCGCCAGGTGCCAGGCCCGATGGCCCCGTCATAAGAGGGTGAATCGGACCCACAGAAACTGGCACCGAGAAGTAGGTGGCTGAGCAAGGACGTGGACAGCAGGCAGTCACTGCAGAGTGGGGCCGCCCTGCAGTGGTGCAGGGAGAGGGCCGGTACCCCCTGCAGGGGGGTGAGAGGAGAGTCCTGACGGGCCTCTGGAGGGGGTGGCGGGCTCTGAGGGCCGCCTGCGCGGGGACCACCGGAGAGAGAGCCTGGCCTGTTTGAGGGTCACGGTGGGCACCCCCCGGCTGTAGGCAGGGCCCCTGTCTGAGGGCTCCCCACATCTCTCTGAGGGGCTGGGGGCTTGAAGGGACTTGTGCGGGGCGTCCCCGTTCCGGTCAGCAGTTTGGAAAGGGCCGTGCTCCCGCGTGCAGGACAGACTGAGGACGTGGCCCGGCAGAGAGCCCAGCGGTGGTTGTGTCAGTGAGCCGGGCCGGAGGGGGTGCGCGCTAGACGAAGACGGACGGAGGGAGGAGGTGGCCAGGACCCTGCTTGGGCGGAACTGGCGCCCTGCTCCCCTCCGGCTCGATGACGCCATGCTTTAAACCGCCGTCTCCCATGGGTGAGCCAGAGAGCGTTCTGGATGGCACTCAAAGTGCTCTTGGTCATGAGATTGGTCGCCGTGGGAGCTCTCGATATTCACAAGGTGGTTTGGGGTTTTTGTTCAGGTTATGGAACATCCAGTCCTCTGCCTGACCTTGTCCCTTAGACAAAGGAATAGGCTTTCCCAACCTGACAGCCATAAAAAATAGCTTCCCTAAGTGACGTGGGAGTGAGTTGGCTCTTCTCAGAGTTTCAGAAGAAACGGATTTGTTTGCTTTTGGATCACTGATACGGTAACGGTGTTCTTTTGTGTCACGTGAGAGTCCAAAACCTTAGTTTGTTGATTTTTCACATCGTATCGTGGATTCTGGTATGAAATCGAAGGGTGAGAACCTGAAAAAAGTCAGTTGTCTCCTTTTTTCTTGACCGACCAGCTTTGTCCCAGCGGCGTCAGGAACCTGGCTCGTGATTCCCAATATGTGGCCATTGTCTTGGCCCAGAGCCCCGCCTCACGCACATCCCATTTTTTCATTTAACCTTTTTAAAGAAAACATTTTCTTTTAATGTTTGTTTGCTTTGGAGACAGAGACCGTGAGAGCAGGGGAGGGGCAGAGAGAGAGGGAGGCACAGAATCCGAAGCGGGCTCCAGGCTCCGAGCCGTCGGCACAGAGCCCGACGCGGGGCTCGAACCGTGACATTGTGACCCGAGCCGAAGTCAGACACTTAAGCGACCGAGCCACCCAGGCAGCCTCTATTGGAGCTTCTTGGCTAGAAAAACTCGTTGGAATTTCCTGTCTCTGTCATCTTCTCCCATTTTCTTTTTCTTTGGGGGGATGGGCACCCTTTTGGCTTCCCTTTGCTCTTACTTGGCTGGGTTTCTGGAAGGAGAGGAGACTGATGTCAGGGCCAGAGCCCCGTGTCACCAGAAGTCCTGCCATATCTCCCCACAGATTTGCCATGTTCCACAAGGTGAGAATTCCTCGCCAAGCCCTCCTGAACCAGACTGGAGACGTCACCCCCGAGGGTACCTACGTCACCCCCTTTAAGGTACAGGTGTCTCCAGGTGGGGAAGCTCGCGGGTGGAAGGCCCTCTGCTGCACAGGACGCTCCCGGGGCTTGCCCGGAGACCCGCCCCGGCTGGGTTGGCCAGTGGCAAACCCCTCTCGGTTCAGGTCCCAGTGTCACCAACAAGGAAGGTGGCACTTGGGTCCCCTGCACCCCCAGGGCACGATGCCAGACGCTGCTCACCCCCCAGCCCTCCAGGGCTGGTCAGGGAGGCTGCCCCCTGCTGGTGCTGTTCCCCCAAAGGGTTTAAGGGCGTGTGGCGGCCATCCCAAATGGGGGTGACAGTGTTCTCTGGTGTCCGGGGCTCACCACATCCCGGTGTCCTTTGAGTGATAGACACACGATGGTCACGGACACACTGGAGCAGTTGGTCGCCTCCCGGTGTCTGAGGTCAGGTGGGCCCGTGGGAGGAGGACTCTGTCCAAGGACACGCACTGCCTGACTGGAGTCGGGACGGCAGGATTGGAAGGAAGCGTGGCAGGGGCGCTAGGGACGAGAAATCAGCACGACACCAGAGTCTCTTTGAAACAGAAAGAGTAACATCAACCGTTCGCTAGACGCTAACCAGACGGCGAAGGAACGGAAGGCACATGACGAGGGGACGAACGGAGCAGGTGCGGGTCAGAGGCTGGGAGGCCCGAGGGAGGGGTCCGTGGAAGGCGCAGGAGAGGCCGAAGCAGCGCGAGAGGAGGCGAGTGTGGGAGCAGCAGGGGCGAGGAGCGTCCGAGGACGGGGAGAAGACCCGACCGAGGGCCCGTGCGGCACCAGGGACAAGTCACGGGAGCCCACGCGTCAGACACGCCGCAGAGACATGAGAACGTTTCCCAGAGACGCACCCGGGATCTTGGCAGAGGGCGCAGCTCTGGCTCCCACGGAGCGAAGCTCCCTGAGCCTCCGGGTTTCTGCGTGCGAGGAGGCGGCGTGGTGACCCCCAAAGTGTCGTGCGCGTGTGGGGTGTGGGGAATGCCCTCCGGCAGGCGCGGGCTCGCGAGGTGGCCACGCCAGTTCCACCGTGGGTGTAACTGCGGAAGAAAAGTCTGAAGAATGAAAGAAGCGAAGCCAGGGGAGGCAGCAAGAGGTGAGGGAGGTCGGGGTGCCCGGACGAGTTAAGACTGGCAGCGGGATGTGCCCACGGCACCGCCACTGTGGGACACGGTGCCCGGGGCCCTGAGGTCTGCGGCGGATTGACACGGTGCCCGTGAGGCCATTAGCTGTCGTGAAAGAACACGTGAAAGGACGCCATCAGGAAGGTCGTCTTCCACGGGGAGGGAGGATTCTGGGGCACCAGGGGTCACGGGAACGGGACGCTGGCACCAAGTGGAGACGCCTCGGCGCTGGGTCCCTGCTTCGTGCCGGGCGTGGCTAAGCCTTGGGGGGCTCCGGGCGGCTGGGGGTGGCGCCCTGTGGGGCACTCATCCCTCCTCCTGCAGCCGGAGGGTCCCTGCTGGGGGCCTTATGACACCTGCACCTCCGCATCCCGGCCCGCCCGGCGGTCCTGGCCTGGGGGTGCACGGCGGGGGGGCGCCCAGGGAACCATTGGGCGCAGCCGTCTGCGTGCTGCTGTCCCCGAGGCCGCCGGGAGTCCCGCTCGCACTCACCACATGTGCTTTCCCTGTAGGACGCCAAGCAGCGCTTCGGGGCGTCCCTGAACAACCTCTCCATAGGTCGGGCCATTATCGTGGCCATGTCCGTGGTGAACTTAAAGCTGGCCGTTTCCATAGCCCTTCGTTTCTCAGCCACGCGGCGTCAGTTCGGGCCGACAGACGAGGAGGAGGTACCAGTGCTCGAGTATCAGATGCAGGTACGGCTGTGGCGGGCGTCCCGGCCTGTCCCTCCTGTCGCGGGGGCACCTGTGGGTCTCTGAGCCGCTGCGCTCTGGCTGCTGGGGGGCCGTCAGACCCCGCCGTCAGGCAACGGTCAGGGCAACTGACAGGAAGGAGCCTGGCCGCTGGGCAGGAGGCTTCTCCAACCTGCGTTTTCGGGAAAAGGCGTGTGTGCGGTAGCCCGAATGAGGCCCTTGGAAGAAGCGTGTGCTGGTGACGCTCCCACGCCGTTGCGCGCAAAGCCTCCGCGGGGTCCGGCGGTGGCGGCTCGTCCCGGGCCCCACTCTCTGGCTCCCTCACCACGTCCCGAAGAAGCTACCCCGCGGGAACAATCCGCCGCGGCAGCCGGGCGCTCGGGCCGTTTGTGGTGACAGCATTTTGAGTAGCGGGAGGGACGCTCGTCCGGCCCGTCCTTGGGGACGAGGCGGCCTGGATGCCAAAGGGGGCGCGGTTTTATCCCAGGAGCACGCGGTGCTTGTGCGGTATCCGCCCTTCTCACGCCCGGCCTCCACGCTTCTCACATGCCTTCCTGGCGCACTTGGCCTTCGCCGGGTGGGGTGTAATTCCCAGTTCACAGGTGGGGGCATTGGGGGTCAGACGGGGGGGGCTCCTGTCCGAGTCCGGCAGTGAAGCCCGGCCCCGTCTCGGGCCGGGCACTGTGGAAACGCAGGGGTGTTCGAGGGAGAGCCCGAGGGAACCGTAAGAGAATCTCTGTCTCTTCTGCCACTTCTCACCGTGGCCGCGTGCCTGTTTTCGCAACAAGCAAACGAGGAGAAGCAGCATGTCTGGCTCACTTCTGTGTGGCACACGCCGTTCCTTTCCCCGTGAGGCCCGTGGCCTTTGTGAGGCCAGCGCGCCCGACTGCCGGTCATCGAGGGCGAATCATGGTCCGGGAGCCCGCTCGGGCCACTATGCTCGGGCTCCACCCGGCTGGCCGCGTGCCCTTGGGCAGGGCCGCCTTGTGCCGCCTCCCCGGGGTCTGGGTTCCTCACGGACCAGAGCCGATGACACCTCCTCGTGGGGTGGCAATGAGGATTAAATTCCCGAGTCCACAGAGAGCGGTTGGCAGGATGTGTGGCCCTCTGTTCCGTAAGCGGTACGTGGGGGTGGTGCCCGTTTGCCGGGTCCTTTCCCGCTTTTTCCTCCACGCCCTTCCAGCCGTGCGGCGCTGGGCGTGCAGAGACCCCCTCCCTGCCCGGGCGGACTCCTGGCCCCCTGTGGTCCTCACTTTCCCAGGTGGCTGAGGGGTCATCACTTGGCCCCTGGTGGGCACTCAAAGCACAAGCGATCACCTGTGCAGCCCGGCGGGGCAGGGGGCCCGATAGTCACCCTCCCAGTGGTCCCGTTGGTGAGACCCCTGAGCCTGCTACACAGAGAGCACCTTTGAGTGAGGCTGAGTTGGGTTCCCTGCGAGTGGGCGGGGGGTGGGGGTCCCCAAGGGGGGCGCTGGTTTCCCTACGAGGCGGGGGTGCATTTTCTGAGGAGGAGTTGGTTCCCTACGAAGGGAGGGGTGCTGTCTCTGCCCGGGGGGGGGGGGGGCCCCCCCCGGGGGGGGGGTCAGGGGGAGGGGGGGGTTGGCTGCGAGCGGGGGCGGGCTCTGTGGGAGGACCGTGCCGTGTTAACGTGAGCGTCTCGTCGATTTTAGCGATGGCGCCTACTTCCCTACCTGGCGGCTGCGTATGCCTTAGACCACTTTTCCAAATGGCTCTTCCTGAACCTGGCGGAGTTTCAACAAGGCCTCATGGGAACGGACCGCGGCACCAGGCAGGTGAGAGGCGATTCTCTTTTCTCCGCAGTGTCGAACCTCGTTAGCTGTCGCCGAGGTTGAACGGCACACGTCAACCCGTCTTCCCGAACGACATCTGTCCGTCCGTGGCGGCCTCGTGGGGCGAACGTGAGGCGTGTCCTTAGCCGTGCCCGCCCCCCCTGCTCGGGACCCCCAGAATCCTCGCCGTGGTGTGGACCGTTCGGGTGTGCGTCCGTATTCCTGCTCCTCAAGGACGGGCTGACGTGACTCCTAATTCCAGTCCGTGAGCTCAGCTGGCCTTCTGCTTTTGAAAACGTGATGAGTTTGCACAGTCCACGATACCGGCCCCTCGGTAGATTTCACGGCTCTGATCCTTTCGTAAACAATCCTGCAAAGGCTAAATCCAGCTGACTGGATTTGAACGGACAGTCAAGGGTTTATGCCAGATTTGAGCGTCCGCTGAGCTCAGGCACTGTGTCGAGTCATCCTTGGCTGATTCCTGTGTAAACGGTTTACGACGGACTTTCCATAGCCCCTCACGTTGCCTCCCGGGCACGAGTGAAATGTGAATCACGAGAAAACAGGTTTGAAAACAGGTCAGAAATCTTGCCGATCGGTGCGAAGTCCAACACCCTAAAAAGCCTGTATCAAATTAGCACGTTTTGGAACATTCAGCGTAAACATCCGGGAGTCGGGAGGCGGCCAGCAGGGTGCGCTGCTTGGCAAAGCACAGGCCCTGGGAGCACGGGGATGAGTCACTGAAGCTTCTGCAGCTGACGTTGGACTCGTCCCGTTCGTAACGTTCTAAAGAGTACTCACGCTTTATTCTTTCCGAAACCCAGCGGTTTAACCGACGCACGGCAGGGCCTGGGAGTGGCCCTGACATTTTCAAGTTGAAAACATTGGCAAAACGGACCATCTCATTTAGCGGGGGTGCGTGTTCATCTCTCTTGTTTCTGTGAGCCGTCAGGTAGAAGGAAAGGGTGAGACCCGCCCCGAGACGCTGGCCGGGACACCCTTACAGAGACGACTGTGGCTCCCTGTCACCCATGCTGTCTCCTGCGCCCCGGGCCCGCCCGCCCCTCTCCTCAGAGGGGCGCGCCCTCCCCACCCCGCCTTCGGTTCTTCCTTCCTCCGCAAGTGCTCCGTTTCAGGTTCATGAGCTTCCCGGGAAGTGAGCCGTGATGGACTCCTTGCTTCTGTGCTTTGCGTCTGTGATCACCCTTATGCCCCTGGCGTCTATTTGCTGCACAGAGCCCCGGTCCATCTGCTCGTTGCCATGGAACTGTCTGTACCACAGTGTAGCCACTCGGAGGTGAACCCCCCCTTTTCAGGTTAAGGTGGTTTTTGTGTTTTCCTTTCTCCCGCAGCTGTCGCGTGTCTTAGATTAGACTAGAGGGGACGTGAGCCTTCGACGCTAGGGGCGAACTGACCTCTGACCTCTGGTCATCTCTTGATGAAAAGAGGTCAGCCTCTTTTCATCTCTTCTTGTCGATTTCCTCTCCCAAGGCAGAGCTCGGACGTGAGATCCACGCCTTGGTGTCGGGCAGCAAGCCCCTGGCTTCGTGGACCGCGCAGCGGGGAATTCAGGAATGCCGGGAGGCGTGCGGAGGACACGGCTATCTGGCGGGTAGGTCTCGAGAGGCGTGACCGTTTCCCGTCCGTAGCCCTCCTTTTGACTCAAGGGGTCCGCAGACTGCAGCCAGGCGCCCAAAGTCAGCCACTGCCGGTTTTTGCGAATAAAGTTTTATCGGCACGTGGCCACACCCATCCGTCCATGGGTTTTCTGTTGCCGCATTCGCACGACGAACGGAGTCGAGTCGTCTGCGTCGAGCCTGAGCTCAGGCTCAGCGTCTGGCCTTTTCCAGAGCAAGTTTGCTGACCCCCTGGCCTAGACACATCCCTGCGCTCTCCGAGGCCTCATGTTGCCACGTCTGAGGAGAGACGCCGTGAAGGGCCCGCCGACAACCAGAGCACAAATCACGTGATCCGTTCGTTGAGTCGTAACTTTCCGGCGACTGACCTGTCAGTAAACCAGCAGCACGTTTTGTTCTGGTGAAAAATTCTCAAACGTAGGAAAAGAGAGTTTTTCTTGGCATCGGCTGTCGTTTGGGCAGCTGGTGTGTGGTAAGGAGAGCAGGCAGCCCACAGCCTCCGACCAGCTCCTGCCCTGCCAGTCACGGGCCGCGCGGCCACGGGCCCGCCAGCTAGCCTCGCTGTGCCTCAGTTTCCTCACCTACGAACCAAGGTCGACAGAAGCGTGCCACGACACGGGCACGTGCGGTGCTTATGTGAGTTAATACACGTAAAGTGGTTGGCACCGCATCGGGCCTGTGGCACGTGGCCGGGGGCCACGTCACCGTTGGAACTTGCAGTACTCTCGCAGATGCCGTGATCATTTGTGAGCTTCCCGTGTGCCACTCTGAAATAATTTAAAAAAAAAATTAACGATTATTCATTTTTTTGAGAGAGAGAGACAGAGCGTGTGCAGGGGAGGGGCAGAGAGAGAGGGAGACACAGAATCGGAAACAGGCTCCAGGCTCCAAGCTGTCGGCACAGAGCCCGACATGGGGCTTGAACTCACAAACCTGAGATCATGACCTGAGCTGAAGTCGGACGCTTAACCGACTGAGCCACCCAGGCGTCCCCTGTTCTGCAATAATTGACGGGTAACATCCAGTTACTCCCAGAAGGCCATGCGCCTCCCAAACAGCAGAACGCGGCAGCCTTGTTTCAGCGGATACCTTCAGAAGCGTTGCAGGCTCTTGCCGAGCTCGAGCATGTCAGTGACGGGCTGTGGATAATCACGTGCTCCCGGCGAGGATCTGTCCCGTTCCTTGTCACGCGGGAGGCCCTCGGCCGTCCCTCGGCCGCCTCCGCCTCCCCCTTCCCTGCTGACGAACAGGCGACCGTGGCTGTGCCGTGTCACTCACCCATGTTGTCCTCTGTGCAGCGTTCTGTAGTTTCTGTCGTTACGACTCCTGGAGTCCCTGTAAACAGTTGGCCGTTTTGGGCCATAAGTGGGATAATGAACTTGAACGTGCAGCAGTGCAGACGACAAGAAACTCCTGTGTCCGTGTCCTGTGTGTAAACGCCAGGCCGCAATGGGCCAGACCCGACTCAGCGGGGCAGATGTCACGGGCCCTGTCTAGGTTTAATAGCAATTGCGAGTTATTTCTCCGTGGCCTCGCCCGACTGTTTCTGTAGGGAGGTCTCTCTACGGCCTGGGGCACCGAGTCGGGGGAAAACGATCAGGGTGGCACAGGTGACCACAAGCCCGGCGGCAGCTACAGAACCTCGTAGAGGCGTACAGCGCCCTCTCTGGCCCTGTTCCCAGCAGCGTGTGAGCCTGGGAGGCCCCGCTTTTCCCTGTGGCTCCTCCCGGCCCAGCCTGGCCTGTGGAGAACATTCTCCGTCGGAGGACGGAGACCCAGACAGGAGGGTCTGGAAAGCGTACCTTGTCAAACAGGCAGAGGAACGAAGTCCCGTGGTCGGCGGGAGAGACAACAAAAAAAAGCTGAGCGTTGTCTTCTGATACCTGACGTTTCTTGTGTAAAAAAATGCCACGGGGTGGGCAGCTCCCCTGAGGGGCCCGTGCCTGTCAGCCACCCTCGCGAGGCCCGCGGTCAGCAGGGGAGAGGGAGACGCGGGCGACGCCGGGCATTTCCCGAGCGCCGCGCCGTGGACGTCGGGGGCCTGGCCGCGTGGCTGTGTGTGTCCCCTTAAAGGCAGAGCGGCCAGGCTGGGAGGTGGAGACCCGGCTGGGGAGGAGCGGGGCCTCGGCAGCCTCGGAGCGCGGTGTCTCGGTCGGGCCGGGGGATGGTGGCAGTACCGTCCCGCGAGCGCAGGAAGTGATGAAGCGTGTGGTCCGTTGCAGTGAACCGCCTGGGCGACCTCAGGAACGAGAACGACCCCAACTGCACGTACGAAGGGGACAACAACGTCCTGCTGCAGCAGACCAGCGGCTACTTGCTGGGCCTGCTGGAGCTCCGCCTCCAGGGTAAGACCCCGCCCCTGCTGGTGCAGCTGGGCTGTCCAGGCCCCGCCGGGCCAGCTCAGCCACCCGTGTCTGCAGGAAGGACGTGTGTCCTCGGGCAGCGACTCACCACCTTCCGGTGGGGGGGGGGGGTGGTCAGCGAGGTGGGACGGCGTCCGTCACTCCGGGTCCTGGGTGTGCTTGTAGGTGGCGCTCGCCTTGACAGCCCTCTGGGGACCGTGGACTTTCTGGAAGCCTATCCCGACATCCTCGACCAGAGGTTCTCGTGCCCCAGTGTCGCCGGCTGCTCGGAGTCGTCAGGTGAGCACCCTCTCTCCCCATCTCCCTCCCCTCGTGATCCTGGGGGGCACACCGTACCGCAGTGGGGGGCTTTGGTAGGGCCTGCAGGCGGCTGGTCGGTTCCCGTGTTCACCCAGCACCTCCCCGGCCCGACTCCTGAGTCGGGTGCTGCCTCCCCCTCTGAGGGCGAAGACGGAGAGGCTCTGGGGTCCTGCCTCGCTGGGCAGCTGGGCTCCTGCCCGCCGGCCGCCCCTGTGACTCAGCCGTCTTCACAGGAAGCTGGGGCCCTTTTGCTCAGGGCCTTTGCACGTGCCGGCCACACTGGCATCACCTCCGCGGCCCCCGCTCTGCAGTGTGCTCACCCCCCTCGGCCTCTGCACGGGCTCAGCGGCCATGACCATTGGTGCCCGTGCTCGTCTTGTGTGGCCGTGACAGCCTGGCTGGGGGGCAGAGCCGGCCGCGACCGGGTTCCTGCTCTCACGCGGCATTATGGTCCAATAGGGACGGGCCTGTGCAAAGGAGCAGGGGCTCTGCATGGCAGGGGCCCACACGCTGGGCTTGACTGCCCAGGACAGCCCGTCTGAGATGTCAGTGACACGGGCGGGGTGGCCATGGGGTGGGGGGGGGGGTGTGCCCAGCGGAGTGTGCGCGTTGATCCAGGGCTGGGGGAAACACGGGACTCTGGAGAAGAGAGCGGCTGACTGACGGGTCTGTGTGTGCGCTGTGACGATTCACTCTGAAACGTCCCTCTGGGGCGAAGGCCGCTCTGTCCGCCGTGGGAACACAGCAACACGAGAGAAGATGGGTGTCCCGGACGGGGCGGTGGCGGTGCTGGTGGGGGGCAGTGTGAGGCGGAGCGGCTCTGGTCGCGTCCCTGCTCTGTCCGGTCCCCTCCACGTCCCCACGCTCCCCCGGCGCCCAGGCCCAGGAAGGTCCGGCGGTGCGTCCGTGGTGTCCGCGCCGAGCCCGGGTCAGGCCCGGCCTGTTGTGCTCCGAGGCCCAGCACCGGCCCCCAGAAGCCCCCGGAGGAGACTCCCACAGGAACAGGGCTGGAACTCGTGGCCGGGCCTGCGCCTCCCGCGGGGCCCCGCTCAGCTTTTTGTCAAGTCCCGTGTCAGACACGCGGCACTCGAAGCCACAGCAGAAACGCCACTGGTCTCACCGTCGTCCGACCCATGAGCACCGAACGCACCTGCTTCGTTCCTCCCGGAAACGCCGGTTTCCACGCCCTCGCGGGCTGCCTCTGTGGGCTGGCGGCGAGGCGGACCTCGGAGCACGCGTCCTGGGGGCCGGGCAGGAGCCGCTCTTCCGCTGAGCCTCCCGGGACCTGGAAGTGCAGCCCACCCGCCAGGAGAGCGAGGGGGCGCCCGGCCGCCTGGGTCTGCTCCGGCCCTGCCCGCCTCGGCCCGCTGGCCACGCCCGGGGCAATAGCAGCACCCGCCTCTCCAGGCTCTTCTCTTTTTTTAAACGTTGATTTATTTTTGAGATGGAGAGCAAGCGGGGAGGGGCAGAGAGAGAGGGAGAGAGAGAATCCAGAGCGGGCTCTGCACGGTCAGCGCACAGAGCCTGGCTCGGGGGCTCAAACCCGGGAACCGTAAGGTCATGACCTGAGCCAGAATCAAGAGCCGGACGCGTAGCCAACTCTTAACCCAGCAGCCGCAGGGGGAAAGGCAACTTCTTCCAGAAGCACAGGCGTCCCCGGGTGGGCAGGGACAGGCTCTCGTGGGGACGCTGGGCACCGTGCTCCTGCCGTGCTTGTGTTCGGGACCCGTCGGCCACTGCGGTAAACGCAGCCACGCGTGGCTCTGGCCTCCCCAGACTCACTGCGAGATGCCCTTTGTTCCCCCGACCGCTGTCAGCTGAGCGCCTGCGGCGTGGGAGGAGGGCAGCTGCACAAGGAGACCCCAGAGTGAGCGTCCCCTGGGGCCCGGGGGCCGCTGGGTCCTCTGGGTACAGGACCTGCCGCCCGCCTGCCCACCCGCCAGGGACCGAGAGCCCGAGACATCGCAGCAGCTGCGGGTGCTGGAACCGGCCGCACACTGTCCGCTTGGCCCTGCGGGGCACGCACTGCTCACGTCTCCCTAGAGGAGGCTGGGCCGGGTGGTCCCGGCCGGCCCAGCCCACGTCAGCAGCCGGGGCAAGAGTAGGACCCAGGCCGGCTGGCTTCCCAGCTGGCTCTCCTCCATCGTCATCCAGGAAGCTTCTGCCCTAACCGCTTGATTTCTCATCGGTCGCCACGTTCTGTCACGGCTTTCCGGACAGTAAGTGACCTACAGGTCTCCGTCTGCCCTTGTACACACGGTGGGACACGCTTGAAGATCGATTTCAGACGGTGGCAGAGCTCCCCAGCCCAGCGTTGCTACAGAACGCGCCGGAAAATAACCTAATGCCTCTCGCGACATCAACACCACCAGAATTTTTCCCCAGAAACCATCACCCGTCGTGAAACCAGATGGAACACAAGCGGTCTGCCAGCTGCGTGACGTCCCCAGGACTCCGCACGGGTCCCCCCCCCCGCCGCCCCTCGCGGACACCGAAACCCAAGGCAGCACCTGCGAACCCGCGGCAGGACACGTGCCCGGACAGAGTCGTGTTTTCCCTGTGACTGCCCTGGCCTGCGTTTTCAGGAGGAAACAATGCAGCTGAAGTTCCTTTGGCGACAGCGCCCGACCCCGAATGCCGATGCTCCTCTCCGCGCACGGAGGAGGCAGCGTGCGGCGCGTGGCCGGCCCCTTGTCATCACATCCCACACGTGGCCCTGGGGCGTGTGGCCATCACATCCCACACGTGGGCCCTGGCTTGCGTCGGCTGCGTCCTTGGTAAAGAGTACGTGAAATCTTCCTGACCCTCAAGCTCTGTAGGACCGGGACACGAGACCCTTCAATGCAGAAGCAGCCTGCCGGGAAGGTGCAGAGGGTTTCCTTCAGGGGTGGGCGGGGTTCCCCGGCTCTGCCTTCCGCATCTCCCCGCTTCCTCTGACCTGCAGGCCAGCGTGTGTGCCGAGGACGGGTTTCGCAAATGTCCCGGCGCCTTTGAGGACCTGTGCTGCCACCTGACACGAGGCCTGGTTCTTTCCTTTCCTTGGCTGATCTGCACACCAGGCAGCTTCTGACAGCCGTGTGCGCACCAGGCAGAGGCTCGCCTCCTACCACCCGTTCAGCGGGTTCCGGGCCGCAGTCACGGAGCTCAGGCTCTGGAGTCCACGAGACCTACGGCTGGGCACTTGGCCTCTCCGAGCCTCAGTTTCCCCTGCAGTACACAGTCGTCCCCACGCTGCTCTGGGTGGGGCCTGGCCCACGGTGCGCTCTCACTGGGGGCCACCGCTCCAAGCCCTCCCTCGGGAGGGACGGAGCAGGGAGAACTCAGCTGTCTCCCTGGCGGCCGGCTCCGCGGGGGGTCTTGTGGGTTTAGAGGAGGAGCACCGGGTGCGGGGGCATGGACGGAGAGCAGGCCACACCCAGACCCTGCCACGCCAGCCCGGGGGCTGGTGCCAGTCGGCCGAGCCTTGCTTTCTGGGCGCACCGAGGTTGGGGCCCCACCCTGGAAGGGGGGATCGGCCAGGAAACGGGGGTCTAGCAGAGGCAGTGTCGGGGGAGGCAGAGAGGTGGTTGGAAGGTGGCTGGCCGGCCTAGAGGGGCTTGCTGGACGGAGGGCTGGGTGAGAACAAAGCCCCCGGGGGGAGGGGAGGGGAGGGGTGATGACACGGGGGGTTCTGGTGTCACTCGTGGAGCCAAGTGCCCGGCGGGTATGTCCAGATGCCCCGGGACCAGGGGGTGGGGCAGGGCTGCGCTCGCTGCAGAGGCTGGGGGTGGGAGGTCCTTCCTGCCTCTCCCAGCCTCCAGGGCCCCCGGCACTCCTGGGCTCATGGTCGCATCACTCCGTGTCTCCTCCATGCCCTATGGCCCCCCCATATGTGTATCTCCCCTCTGACCCCATAGGACACTTGTTGGACTTAGGGCCCACACTCTCCAGGGGAGTCTCTAGAATCCTTAGCTGCTCACGTCTGCCTTTTCCCAAGAAAGACACTTGCAGGCTTCGCGTCAGGACGTGAGCGTGTCTTTTGGGGGCCCCCGCGGAGCCCCCACACCTGGCTGGACTCTGGCACGGGCTCGAGGAGGCCCCAGAGGAACCGGGGCCGCCGTGTGCGCTCGGCGTGTGAGCTTTGTCTCGGCCCCGTGAGTGAGTTTATTTGTTCTTTCACGGACCTCTCAGTTGTGCTGAGACAGTCGAGTGTCCGCGGCAGGGCCCCGGCGAGTGCCGCCTGTCTTCCCCGGGAGTGGGCTGTGTGACGCAGGAGGAATCCCCAGGACCCTTCGCCCAGGCTTTGGGGCCGGACCCAGCGTGGCCAGGTCCCTGTGGTCCCTTCTGGGGGCCCCGCGCCGAGGGCAACCGCTGAGCAAAAGGGCTCCCGGGCCAGGGGGCGCCCTGCGGCCTTCCCTCTTCTGGCCCCTCCCAGCACGTGCCTGTCTGTCTACACTCTGTGGTGGCACCTCCTTTCTTGCCTAGAGCTCCTTGGGAGGAAGGCGCGTAGGCTGAGGCCCCGGGAGGGCCAGCGAGAAGCCCCCGCTCAGCTGCCCGCTAGTCCCAGGGAGACCAAGGGCCGTGCTGGCCAGTGAACAGACACCCCTTCCTCCCGCCACTCGCCCGCCATCTGCCGCGAAGCCGTCCTCTCGTCCGTGCAGACCCGTAGTGACACTGAGGTGACGCACCCTGTCTCGTCACCCAGAACTTGCTGCCAACCCAAAGTGGCTTTGTGGCCCCATGGCCTCAGTCCCAGCCTGAGGCCGTGCCCTCCCGGTGCCTCCGTGTCCGTGAACCGGGCCCGCCTCGCACTCTCGCCACGAAGATCACTGTGCACTGTGCACCCTCTGCCCCTCCCGCCCGCCTAAGTGCTCTGCACACGTGGGTGCTCTATCGCTACTTTCTCTTCTGTGTCTTGTCTTGAAGTCCCGCTGGCAGCATACGAGTGGCTGGTCTGTTACCTGCTCCGAGAGAGTGTGCAGAAGGTAAACCAAGAGAAGAGATCAGGAAACAGTGACTTTGAAGCAAGAAACAACAGTCAGGTATGCTTGTTCTTAAAATTGCTTTTTGAATTTGCTTTGGATTTCTGTGCTGCCCTGTCCCCATAAGCTGAATGTCCTGCTGGTGGCCGGCCAGGCCCTCCTGCCCCTGTGCCCTCAGGTGTACGACCTGTCTGCACCCTACTTTGCTGCAGGGACCTTGCTGGATTGTGGGTGTCGTGTTTAAAGTGCTCAGTGTCCTCGGGGCGCCTGGGTGGCTCAGTCGGTTGAGCGTCCCACTTCAGCTCAGGTCATGATGTTGTGGTTTGTGGGTTTGAGCCCCGCGTCGGGCTCTGTGCTGCAGCTCGGAGCCTGAAGCCTGCTTCGGATTCTGTGTCCCCCCCCCCCCTGCTCCTCCCCACTCATGCTCTGTCTGTCTCTCTCAAAAATAAACATTCAAAAAAAATTAACAAAACAAACAAAGTGCTCAGTGTCCAGAGCTGTCACTATTGGAGCTGGGACACTGGGCTCTGGGGCCAGGCACCAGCCCTGGTCCCTCCCAGCCGACCAGCGACAGCTTGGTGACTCACGTGAGGTCCCACCGGCCCTGCACTTGGTTGCTCTCAGGTCATTTCTGCCCTTCTCAAGGAGCCTTGGGTCCCAGGGTGGCTTTGGTTCTCGTGTTCGGTCAGGGCCAACTCCTGGGTTCTGGAATCCACGGTATGGAGGCAGCCTGCTCTAACACGCCTCCTGGCGTCAGGAGCTGGCCCGTCATGACCCAGGGTATTGTTGGGGAGGCCATGGATGAAGGAAACAAGAAGTCTCTAGAACTGATGGCGTCCCCTCTCCTTGGTCTCACTTCGTGAGGCTCTGCGTCGAGAACTCGGCGTCCTCATCCGCGCATCTGCAGATGCCTCCGACCCTTCCCGTTACACTGGGACGGCGGCTTCCGCGCTCGGGTGGACGCGGCCAGAAGCAAAGCGGGTGGTGTCTCCCGGGACCTGCCGCACACACCTGCCCAGGTGTGGAGCTCAGGGAACAGGATGGCGTCTTGATTGGAAAGGCCTGGAAGAGTAGACCCAGGTCGGCCCCAGGGCCTCAAGGAAGCGAATTCAGCAGGTGGCTGCAGTTAGCAAACTGTAGCTCGTGTTACAATGACCAAAACTGGGGGGCAGGGAAAGGATCCTTGTGGAATGGCTGGGGCCACGGCAGGCTTAGTCTTTTGGACAGCGACGGCAGCACGTTAGTTTGTCCCACGTCCCTCCGTTCTCTGCATGTCAGGCCGTCACTGTTGACATGGAACAGGTCCTCCATTTCTGGAGGGGAGGAGGGTACAAAAGGCACCTCCGTCCGGATGCCAGAGAGCTTCCCCGGGGGTGGCTGTGGGTCTCCGTGCTGTCCCTCCGCCGCTGTGCCCGACACCCTGACGGTGGGCCCCGAGCAGGGGCGCAGCTGTTTTAGAAATATTTCACCCTTAGACCTTCATTGAAGGACCTCGTAGCAGCATTTCAGTGAGCGGCATGGCTGAAAAGGACGGAGAGGCCAGCTGGCCCAGCCTGGGTTCTGGGTCCAGCAGAGGTGGGGTGCCTGGGGAGAGCTGCTGAGCTGACCGGCACTCAGAAGCTGGGGTGTAGCACGGGGAGCAGCCGTGAGGCCTGGAAGAGAGGTAATGGCCCAAGAGCAGTCTGCATTTTCCGCACCTGGTCTGGATCACGGAGCATTTTAAGAGCGAGCACTGGGTCGTTTCCGACAGCCGAGAGCTCTCACGGCCGGGGCTGGACGTTCATGTGTCCCAGAGAAGATGCTGTCTCTTCCCGTATCATGACTGGAGCAGCAGGACGGCGTGGGAAGAACGTGTCAGAGAACGCTGATGCAGCCTCGGCGTGGGACCAGCCTTAAGACAGGAAACCCAGAAGCTGTAGAAAAAAAACCGTCAGATCAGACTATGTAAACTTTCACTATTTCTATAAACAGAAATCAGGAGACAGACCACAGACTGGGGAAGCACGTACAGCATGACCCACAGACAGCGTCCCCGTGAGGGAAAGGGCTCCCGGGCAGGGAACCAGCCGCTGGCCCAAGGCGGCAGGCACGACAGTTGCTTAACCTGAACCAGGGCCACACGGGTCGAAGGACAGTGACCGGCGGGTCACGGAGGGAGCGAACCTGCTGTGTCCTTGGGGGCAGACGCTGCCTGCTCTCATGTCGTCCCAGCACGAGCTTGCCGGGACTCGGCGGGGGAGGCCGCCGGAGACCGCTGCCGTTCTGCTAACCCGCCACCTGCCCGCTCACAGTAGGCTCTCGAATAGTTGCGTTTATTGCCTCTTTGGGCTGAGTAATCCCCTCCCGGGCTCAAAGTGAGAAAATGTGAACAGGTGGGCTGCAGAGACCCCCTCCCGGAGCCCCCCCCACCCCCACCCGTCCAGAGCCGTCTGCCTCGCAAACGCAGATGAGCTTTCCTCCCCCGGCCACACACGGGCTCCTCGCATATTCTCGTCTCGTGCCGGCCTCTCTGATGCGTAAGGAAATCGAGGCCAAGAGAAATGCCCTGGCTCAGCTGTGCCGACGTCCACACCGGGACAGTTAGGAGTTAGTTTTTTGCCAGAAGTATCCGTCGCTTGTTAATGTGCAGATATCCTCAGTGATCAGAGCACAGCAGAAATGAATACCTGGACCCCGATCGGTTTATACGTGGTGGGGGTGGGGCTCGTGGGAGAGGGGAGCCCGGCACGGGGGACACTGAGGAGAGGGGACAGGGCTAGGGGCAGGGGCCACCCCTCCTGACTCTGCATGTGTGACCGGCCCTGCCTCTGAGTGCTTGCTCTCTGCAAACGGGGTCCCAGGTCCATTGCTGCGTAGTGACAGGTGACCCTCGGCCACATCGGGTCCGAGGTGTGCCTCATCAGACTCCCAAAGGGGACAGTTAAACAGCATGGTGCTGGAGGGTCAGAAGACCGCTTGGGAGCTGAACAGCAGAGCTGTGGCCCCACCGCATGTCCCTGGCTAGTGGAGGTTGGGGAAGCAGGGGCTCCATCCGGACCCGTCCAGAGGCAAGGGGCCCCCCACAGTGTGGACACGTGGGCAGACAGTTCTCGGTGGGACGGAGGCCTGTCCTGTGCTCTGTGTGGTGCTCAACAGCGCCCCCACCTCTACCCACGAAGATGTCAACACCACCCCTGAGTTTTGAGAACCGGAGATGTGTCTGAGGTGGCAGACGTCCCTGGGGGCAGACTTAAGCGAGCAGAGGGCCCCTGACGTTGAGTGCAGCGGTCCTCGGGGGGTCTGGGGCCGCAGCCAACGGAAGCAGACCTGCCCTCTGGCCCACCGAGTCTCAGAGGCCACAGGCCTCTCCCCCTGGGCCGCGCCTCCCTCACACAGGCGTCCTGCCTCCCCAGCCATCTGGACCTAGCACGTGCGGCCCTCACATCGTGGGCTCCACAGCCGTCATGGCGCAGATTCTCAGGTGACGCGCGGAGTGGCCGACGCCCGGCCAGCGGAGCCGTCCCGCATGGACGCGGCCCCCGAGGCTGCCGTGCGAAGGCGCCACCTGCTGGTTTATAACAGGTCAGGTGATGCCAGTGCAGTTTTTCTGATTTAAAAAAATCCGGTCAGATGATCGAGTGGAGATGCAGAAAGAAAAGCTGACGAGCAAAGCTAACAACGACTGGCAGGTACTTCGGATGCTGGGTAAAAAAGGAGACACCGGGACCAGAGGTCTGCAGTGACCTCCTGCTTTCACAGACCCAGCCAGTGTCAGCACCGTGCCCGCAGATGAGACCCGGCCGGGGGCGGCCCCACGCCTTGGCCGCCCGTCAGCCGTCCCCGAACTTCCGGACAGATGTGTGAGTGGGATGGAGAATCGGTTTCCTCGGCAGCCCAGGAGAGAGGGCACAGCGTCACCCCGAGGGGCTGGCCCGGGTCACCCGGCGACTTCTCCGTGGCTCCGGGCGCGGAAGGGGTCCCACGGCGTGCCCTCGTGCCTCCTGGGGGCGCAGGTGTGGCTGTGTGCTCCAGACGGGGCTGCTGACGCCGGCTTTCCCGAGGCCTCGGAGAGCGTAAATGCCAGCTTCGAGCTGGGCATGCTGGTGTGCGGGCCTGTCCGCAGCGCTCCCGCGGGGGCGTTTCTCACGCCGTAACCCCTCCGTGCACCGCCTCACCTGCTGTCCTCGTCCCTGGGTCTGGACGTGCGCCGGAGCTCAGACCTGCGTCTGTGTTCCCGAGGGTTTCTTCCACCGGAAACCGCTGTGACGGGAGCCCCGGCCGCCCGCTCACGGGGGTCGGTGGCCCCGGGCCGTGCTCTGTTTTAAGGTGTACCGCTGCCGTTCCCTGGCCCTGGCGTTCCTGGAGCTCACGGTGGTGCGGACGTTCCACGAGTACGTGCACCAGCCCAGCGTGCCGCCCCCGCTGCGGGCCGTGCTCCAGCGGCTCAGTGCTCTCTACGCCCTGTGGTCCCTGAACCAGCACACGGCCCTGCTCTACCGAGGTGAGGCCCTGCTCTACGGAGGTGAGGCCCTGCGGCCGCCCCTGAGCCCGCCTCCCCGCCCTGTCCCGCCCCGTCCCGCCCCGGAGTGCAGCCTGTTCTGTCCGGGAGGCTTTGGCTCCTCGTCCTGAGCGGTCCTCACAGGCTGCGTGAGCCTGTGGGCAGATGAGGAGCTCCAGCCCCGTGGCAGGAAAAGTGGCATCAGGACGATGTTGCCGACGTAGTTTCACTTTCACTCAGGGTCCCTTTGAAGTCCACTTCCAGTTCAGAGAATATTCCAGAAGGCCCACGTTAGCCAGACAGGGAGTTGGTTACCCACCCCTCGAGTCCCATAGGTCCTACATAGACACAAGCCCAGGCTGCTGGGAGGCACCCTCAGGAATGCCCAGCCTGTGGACCCAGGAGGGCAGCCTGGAGGAGGTGGTGTGTGGGCTGATTCCCGGGAGATTGGTGAACATGGGGCAAGCCTGAGCTTCTCAACCTGTTTTCATTATTGTCCTTCCAAGGAGAGACTTTAGACCTTTTTCCCCAGTCTCCCTCCGGACACGTTAATGCTGTGTCTGTAAGTGTCCTGTGCGTGCATCCGGCCTGGCGAGGAGTCAGCCTGTGTGCCCTACTCCCCTTGCCAAGAACCAGGTTCCCCCTCGGGGCTGGTGTTGCCCCCGGAGGCCACGAGAGCTCATGCGAGGCTAGCAGAGGGGAGGGCGGTTCAAACAGAGGGTGCGGCAGGTGCAGGGCAGGAGACCGCGTGCTTTACGACACAACTCCCAGTGACGGGCAGTTTCCATCACAAAAGGCAAAGAAGAGATTCTGCAGCAAATGCGCTCTCAAATGCACAGGCCGCATGCTTGGGCCCACTAGACGCCACCGCAAGCCGGCCACGGTGGTGGCCGCGGCCTCCAGGTGCATGCGCAGTGATGGGACAGGGACGTGGGAGCCCTGGCCCCGGCCAGCGTGTTCCTGGAAAAGGGCTGCAGTCGGGCCTGGGTGGCAGGGAGCCCTCCTGCGGCGGGGGCGGGGCAGGGCGCCCGGAGGGGCCCATGTGGCTGCAGGGCGCCCGTGCCCAGTGTGACCCGCCCTCTGCTTACAGGTGGCTACTTTTCTGGTGAGCAGGCGGGTAAAATGATCGAGAACGCCATCCTGGACCTGTGTGCACAGGTGAGTCGCGATCACCCTCCTGTGACTCACCCGCGTTCCAGGTAACCGCTGCCTGGTGACACACACACACGAGCGTGCGTGCAACTTTGGGCCAGGACGGGAAAATATGCTCGTGTCAGAAATGTTAGGCAAAGAGTGATTTTTAGGGAGCGTCTTGGAATCCAGACTCTGTAATACGCTGTTTTACAGCTACCTTGGTAATTCTTTTTTCGAGCCTTCCAGGGTACTCGGTGGCCAGCTTAAATTCATTTCGTGGCTTATTTACTTATTTGTTTAGGTACTTAGTGCACAGGAGCGAGTGGGGAAGGGTCAGGGAGAGGGAGAGAGAGGATCCCAAGCAGGTTCTGTGCTGTCAGCGCATCGCGGAGCCCGACCTGGGGCTCGATCCCGCGAACCATGAGCCCGTGACCTGAACCGTAATCAGGAGTCGGACGCCTAACCGAGCCGTCCAGGTGCCTCATTATTTTTTTGTGTATTGTACTCTTTGACCTTTGTCATCCAGAAAGGTCAGGTGGGTCCAGCCCCCGCTTTATGTTCGTGTGGCACCGTGTCCAGTGGGAACGTCTACGGGGGTGAACGTGTCCTGGGGCCGTGCTGTCCCCTGTGATCACCACAGCCCCGTGGGCGGCTGGCGGGTGAAAGTGTGCCCGGTGTGGCTGAGGGTGTCTGTCCTTACTTTGAACCGATTTGCAGTTAAAGGGCCACACGTGCTGGTGCTGCCCTGTCGGGCCCCCGCAGGTAGCTGCGTCCTCTGTCTTCCTGACGTTGGGCAGTTAAGTCAAGGCCCTGCCAGCATTTTATCAGACGTCTCAATGGCCGGTGACGGGCCACCTCATTTGGCCCCTCTCCGTGCTCGGAGCTGATGTAGTTCCAGGTGACCCCTCTCCCCGGACCCCTCGTGAGTGTAGTCCCTCTGACTCCTGGTTTCTGGATCAGCGTCTGTGGCTGCACCGCCCCGGCGTGTGGCCACGTTTACTGTTCCTCGAGCAAAACCAGCGACCACAGGGATTTCCTGTGTGGGCTCCGCGGGGGCCAGCTGCCGTTCACAAAGAGCGCGGCGGGTGTTCCTCTGCTCTCAAACAGCTGAGCCCCCCGAGCCCCCCGCCCGGTGACCGTGACCCCCGCAGGCAGGTGGTCACGTGCACGGTGTGCAGCCGACGCCTCGTCTCCCTCCACCGCCTGGCAGGGCCAGGTCCCCATTCTCGCTCGGGGAGGCCCGGGTCAGGCAGGCGGAGGGGCGCCAGCCCCGTCCGGTGGTTCACGTGGGCATCGTGGGCGGGTGTGCGGCCTCGGCCGAGGTGCGCGGTGAGACGGAGACCCCACGCACGGCCCCCCGAGCCGGACCGTTTCCTTGTCTGGGCGAGGGGGTCGCTCCGCGGACGGCTCCAGGCTTGTTCATCCGAGGCCCGAGGGGCAGAGGGCACGCAGCCGCGGGGCAGACGGGCGGGGGCGCTAAAGAGCAGCCTCTGAGCCCCGTGGGTGTTCTCCTTTCCTCTGCTTCGCGGACTCCGTTGTTCCGCGCTGGCCGCCTGCTTGCCTCCATCGCAGAGGCTGCCCCACTCCAGGGCTCCGGTCAGTGCAGCCGGGACACTTCACGGTTATTTTGGGGAAAAAAACGCTCCTGCATTTCAAGAGAGTTCTTGGGAGGCTCCTCACAGAAGTTCCACGTGTCCCAGTGAAAGGTGACTCGCACGAGGGGAGGGTCATAAAAGCGCTGTGCACCGGCAGCCTTCGTGGGACAGCCTTCCCGGGCCCCCATAAACACCTTCCCCGTCACATTTTTTCCGGACATACTTTCCTCTGCTGCGGCGGCAGCTGCCCAGATGGGTCAGGATTCAGACACAAATCTCGGAGGACGGCTGCCAGTTAGCGAGCCTGCAGGACGCTTTTACGAGGGGCCCCTACCTTACTGAAAAGCAGTTAACACGCTGGAAGTCTTGAGTGATTAGCAACGTGCTGAAAATATTCAGACGCGCCCCCGGGGGATCTGTAGTCCAGGCCAACGAAAAGATAATGCGTTACTGGCCGAGCCGCGCGCGCGCCTGCTGTGGTCAGCGTTGCTAGCGGGTCGTGGCAACAGGCGGCCCGGGCTCTGTTTCTTAGGGGTCGCCATGGAGATTTGCAGGGGTTGCCAGGCATACGGACTTTGTTTCCCAACAGCTGAAAGACGACGCCGTTGCCCTGGTGGACGTGATCGCCCCTCCCGACTTTATCCTGGACTCACCGATTGGCAGAGCCGACGGCGAGGTGAGCGCAGCTGTCCCCCTGCGGCCCGGCGGGAACCGCCGTGTGTCCGAGCGCGAGCGGGGGCTGCTCCGGGGGCCGGCGGTGGCTGTGGCAGAGCCCGAGATGCTGACGTGGGCCCGGAGCGCCCTGGCGCCTTCTGGGGACTTGTCACGCTCGGGCGGCGGTGGAGGGAGCGGCCGGGAGATGTCTGGGGTGACTTAGCCATCCTGCCCCCCCCCCCCAGCCCGCCTTCCTCTGAGATGGGGGCGGCCGCACCACCTTCGTCGGCCCGGGGCGCCGGGTCAGCACAGGCCCTCGTGCGGCCCTCGCGCTCACACCCCCGGGGGCCCGTTGCCGGGCCTGACCCCTTCTGGCCACCGGGCGCTCACCCCTCGTTCCTTCACTTCCCGGCAGCCCCCCTCGGCTCCCCGATCTGTCCTGTCGCGCCATGCTGCAGGATGATTTCTTAAAGTGATCTCGTCGGGCTGCTCTTCTGTTGAGCCCTCATACCGGAAACTGCAGGCACGGCCCTTCCCACACCCCCAGCCTGGCGGCCTGACCTCTGCCTGGTTCTCCGAGGTCGTTTTATGCCGTGCTCCTCCGGCCCTCTGGACTCCAGCCTCACCATCCCTCTCTGTTGTGGTGTGTGAGCTTTCCCACCCCAGGGCCTTTGTACCTGCTGTTCCTGGACCACTTCCATTCATTGGCTCCAACCAAAGTGCCCCCACCCCCAGGCGTGTGCTCCACCTTGTCCTGCCCTGTGATCCTTGTGCTTGTTACTGAGCCAGCTCATAACCCTGTGTGCTGGCTGATGCTCACAGGTCTGTTCAGCACCTCCCAGCACTGCGCTATCAACAGGCCCCTGTGTTACCGCGGGGACGTTTCAGTGTGTTAAAGTCACTTACCTGAGGTCTTGCGGCTGTGAGCAGTGGAATAGGAATGACTCCCGCCTGACCCCCGACCCCCAAGACTGTGTGTTTTCTGTGGGGACACGTGCCGCCGACCCAGGCTCTGTTTCGGTGGAAATCGGACAAAAGGGGACAGCACCCCTGCACGTGTGCTCAGGGGAACGCTGGACTCGGTTCTTTGCAAGATCACATCCGGGAAAGGGGCACGGCCCAGGCCACGCGTGGGGTTTTGGGATGGTGCACTGGGCCCCGGGGTGGGCAGGACAGAAGTCCCCCGTTGACTCAGGCTGGCAGGGGACAGTGGCCCCCATGGAGGCCTGCGGTCCTCGCGCTGCAGGGTTGGGCGTCTGGCCCCCTCCCACACGGTGCATGTCGCACGCCCATCGTGCCGGGGGGAAACCCACCCTCCGGAGAAGCCAGGTGGTCTGCCCACAGCTGCCCCACCAGGGGCAACGGAGCCAGGGTTTGGGGACAGATCTACCTTTTGGAGAGGAGGCAGGAGGCCGAAATGGGTCCCCGGTGTGGCCAGGGCCCCCTCAGGCGCACGGAGGAGGACGTGCCGACAAGGCCACGGGAGAGGGCTGGCCCGGGCCCGTGGGGGGCGCGTGAGGAGGAGACACGGCAGGGGCGGTGGCGTCACGGAGCGCGGGGACGTGGCCGCCCCCGGGGCCCCGAGCACAGGGGGGTGTTGGCGCTCACAGAAGGCGCCAGTGCGGCTGGCCCACTCGAGCCCGTGCCCGTGCGGCTGCCCTGCAGAGGCAGCCAGCCTGACGGGCAGGAGAGCGACCGGTGCCCGGGGGCACGTCCCGCGGTGTGGGGACTCCACGGTGGGAAGCAGAGCCGGCCCGAGGCTCACCTGTCGGGGTGGTTTCTGGGGTGCACACCTTAGCCAGGTGCCGCCACGTGAGACGTTCGTCTTGAGTGAACGAACACAGCCGCCAGAGGTTATTAGAGACGATCGTTAAGCGAAGCCCGAAGCTCCGAGCGGCCACGGAGCCCGTCACCAGGCGAGCCCGAGTGTGTGTGTCTGGGAGGGGGCAGAGCACAGTGTCGGAGGCAAATTGCAGGCGATTCTCCCAAGTAAAACCTGTCGATCCCAGCCAGGCACAGCGTAGGCCCCTTCCTTGTCTCCGCGGGCTGGAGGTCAGCCTGGGAGCCCGGTTGGGGGCGGGCGAAGGACCAGCCACCAGCTCCCGCGACGCTCACGGCCTTTCGTCCGGGACGGCGGCCGCTCTCCTTGTCCCGCGGGGCTGCCCAGCGGGAGGCCGTTGAGTGTGGAGGTCCCGGAGGAGGAGGCAAGCCGGCAGCCGCGTGGGGACAGGGCACGTCAGGGCCGAAGGCTAGCGCACGCTTGCAGAGTCCGGGCAGGAGGCGTGAGAAGCCGTCCTCGTAAACGCGTCTACCCTCTGCTTTCGGTTAGAGAAAAAGATTTCCGTGAATTAGATCCCCTTCAAGTTTGCTAAAAGGTGACAGAACGTCCTGTGTTTTCAGCAAAAGCTAACGAGGGGGTTTGCGTCTGCCCCCTCGGCCGTCCTCAGGAAACTTGTGTATTGTTCACGCGTGTGCTCCTTGTTTGCAGCTCTATAAAAACCTCTGGACCGCTGTCCTTCAGGAGAGCCAAGTGCTGGAGCGGGCATCGTGGTGGGCGGAGTTTTCTGCCAGTAAGACCCACGTGGAAAGTCTGAAGTCGAGGCTGTAGGCTCACCGGCTCGCTCAGCTGAGTCTGAGTGAGCTCATCCAGCTGATGAGGACATTGACCTCAAATGCTGGTTCTGGAAGATACTGGAAATGGCTGCCGCCTTCTGAACGCTCGTCTGATGGTCCTGTGCCCGTCCCGTCTCCCGACCTCACCGGGAGGGCTCAGCCCCGGAGCGTGGGCCGGACGAGGCCGCCAGCCGCTCATTATTAAGAGGTTCTCTGGTCGGATGACCTTTTGCATTCTGATTTTTCTACAAAGCTCTGCTTCACTGAACGCTTAATGATGCCAGCGTGATGCTTTTTGTTAACTAATGTGACTTTATCGGGTAATTAAATTGTATTTTAATCATACCCGGATGACGTAGTGTTAGATGTTTAAGGAGAAGAAAATCTATTTCATGACTTCCTTATGGGAACATAGAAGTTTCCATCAAGGAAGCGTTTCCAAAGAAAAAAGACGCGTGACACCAGTCTGGTCAGTTTCAAGTCCTGACCCGCCGGCCTCGTGCACGTTGCTGTCTAGCGGTCTGCTGCTCGGGTGGGTCCGTTGCACATTCAGCCAGCGGCTCGGAGCTCCCCACGCCGCGCGTGAGTGCGAGCTCCTTCCGGCAGGGGCCAGGTCAGAGGTTGCCAGACGCCCACCCGGTCACTTTGTGTCCCGGCTCCAGGTGACGGGCTTGGGGGCCCTTCTCCGTTTCGGGGGTCTGCCCCTTGGCCCGAGCGCAGCAGGCGCACGTGACCCAGGCGCCCGCGGAGCACAGGTGGTATCAAGCGGACGAGGACGGAGTCTTACCTTCCCAAACAGCCCAGAGTGGCCCTGAGCTCTGTTTCCAGCTTCGGAAACCCCCTGGGTGGTGGCCCTGACTTCTCAAGCCTCAGCCCCACTCCCCGAGCCCCCAGGGCAGCCAGGAGCACATCAGTGGGTAACAGGGGCGGCTTCCGATGAGCACTTACTGCGTGCAGGGACTTTGCTGTCCCCACCTCCTTGGACCCTCAGACGACCGTGTGAGGGGAGTCGTGTTACTGTGCCCGCTGACCCCCAAACGCCTAAATCACCGCCATGGGCCAAACAGCCAGGAAGTGCGGGGTGGCCCGGGCACGAGGTCCCCTGCGTGGCCGTCCCAACATCGTTGGCCCGGCACGGGGCTGGCACGGAGCAGGCGCTCACTAGAATCGGTGTCCTGGTTTTAAGCAGGAAGCAATCCAATGGCACCCGAATTTAATATGCCTCCCGGCGGGCGGTGGGTGGTTTTTGCCAGCAGCCCCAAAGGGGTCGTCTGGGTCGAGGGTGCTGCGTCTAAGGGCACCACACATTGGCTCTTGGTGTCACACGTGCAGCTTCTCTGAGGATTTGCTGTCACGTCCGTCCATCAGGAATGTCTTTGTCCCTGAAGCACGGCAGCTGGCACGTCATACAGACTGGAAATCCGGCCGTGCGGCCGACACGTGGCCCTTGGGCACTGGGAACCGTCAAAGAAAACATCTCCACTCTCAGAGATAACCCCTGGCCATGTGTTCATTTACTCTGGGGCCAGAGGGCAAAGGATTCGGTCCCTCGTGGTCCTGATTGGCCGGATCGGCCCCCGCCAGTCCGAGGCACGAACGTTGACGGACTTGTGCCCACCGCTTGGGGCCTGGTGGGTGGTTCATCCGTGGGGCGCCCCATTCCTGAGGCCCCCCTCTGTGTCTGTGCACTCGCCCGTGTGCGTGTGATTCCCGTAACAGAAACGGGGTCATCCTCTTGCCGCACTCCCTTTCCCGCTTAAAGCCACACCTCGGGCATTCCCCTATCCAGCAGCACGAAGGTTCAAGTCCACAAGCCTCCTGAGGGGCGCGGACGTTAGGGTGTCTGCTCCGAGCAGCTCCGTGCACGGGTCCGCCCCTGGAGGCCGGCTCGCCGGGACCAGCGCCTTGAGGGTGGGGTTTGTGAGTCCCAGATGGTGGCACCAGGGTGGACAAGCATAGGGTGAGAGCCAGGCGGGGCCAGATCGCCTGGGCGGATCCCCGTGTGTCCCTGGTGAAACCGCACGCACCAAAGTCTGCCAGTTCTGCGGTTTGTCGGCATTGATATGGGCTGATGCAGAAGCAGACACAGGCCTGGCCTGCACGCGGCACCTGGGTGCGGGGTGTCTCTGTGTTACCACACTGCTCCCTCGCCCCTCCCTGCAGTGTCCTCCTGGTTCTAGTGTGAGAGGTAAGGAGCCCTGACACCTCCTGGGCAGGTGCACCCTTCTCTGCCCCCCACTGAGGCTGCACGGGTCTTTTCATCCATTTAGAGACTGTTTCTATGTGTTCTGTGATGACTGTCCCTTCTTGGTTTTTTTTGCCTAACGGAGCCTTTCGATTTTACGATATTTTGTTGATTTTAAACATACTTTTTACATATTAAGGACAATAAGCCTGAACATATACGTATGGTCTATATGACTCTTCCTTATTTATCATCTGCCTTTTAATTAATTTTTTCTTTTTGCTCTAACATGATGTTTAAAATAAAATTTGAAATCTTATATACATAAAACTAAGAATCTTTTCTGCCCCGGCCTTTGAGGTCATGCTTGGAAAGTTCTCTCCCACACCAAGATTGTTGCTATTTTCATTTATTTTTCTCAGTGTGCATCACAGTATTTAACTGACCAGGAAGTCACTTGGAGGTACGGTGTGAGGTAGGGATCCAGGATAGCTGGCCCCTTGCATGGACCAACCAGAATGGCCACTTGGATCAAATGCCAGAATCGTGGATGTTCCAGGGCCTATTTCTGCCTTTTTCTAGTTTATTTCTGCCTTTTCTCACGTCAGCTCCTCCCGTTTCTGTTCTTGTGGCTTTCGTACTTTTCAGTATCCTTTGGAGCAGGTAAAGCCGTGCTGCTCATCTTTTGAAAAACATTTCTTTTTTTTTTTTTTTTTAATTTTTTTTTTCAACGTTTATTTATTTTTGGGACAGAGAGAGACAGAGCATGAACGGGGGAGGGGCAGAGAGAGAGGGAGACACAGAATCAGAAACAGGCTCCAGGCTCCGAGCCATCAGCCCAGAGCCCGACGCGGGGCTCGAACTCACGGACCGCGAGATCGTGACCTGGCTGAAGTCGGACGCTTAACCGACTGCGCCACCCAGGCGCCCCGAAAAACATTTCTTAAGTATGCACATTTTAATTTTGGTATCGTTTTGTCCTTGCGAGCTCTCCCTTCCCCAGATTAATGAACCATTCTTTGGAATTCGGGGGTTTTGTTTAATTTATAGATCACTATCAGGAGAATTTATATCTATATGGCGAGTAGTCTTCCCAGCTAAGACCATTTTTTCAGGTTTTTAATAAAAGGCTGTTTTGTTTTGGTATGTTTACTTTGTAACTGGTCCCTTTCAAAAAACCTGAATTATAATAGTCTTTCACTGATTCTCTTCAGTTTTCTCTGTATGTCATTGGCAAATACCGATGGTTTGGCCATTACCTTTCCAAAACCTTCACCGGGCATTTAACCTTCCTGGCTAGCATCTGCCGGCCCTGCCGGAACAGTTTACTTACAGGTGATGGTGGCACCCTTTGTCTGGTCTCAGACGTTCAGGAAATGCCTTCAGCGGTTTGCGTTGGTGCGATGCTGGGGGGGGGGGGGGCCCGGGGGATGTGTGGCAAAGACAGACAAAGGCAGAAGACCACGCGAGGGACCTTCTCTCTTTGCACACAGGTGTGTGCTCGTGGCCGGATGTCGGACTCCCCGAGGACAACGGCTGCAGAGTGGGGTCCTCTCTCAGACGAGGAGCCGGCCCCCTGCGGCTACGTGGGGCCGGTGGGTGGATACAAATGGAAACCACACCAGCACGAAGAAGAACCCGCCAAACCCCATCATCGTTTGTGAGAGCCCATTAACATCCTGGGATTGAGGTCTTCCTTGTGGCCACCACGGTGGCTGTTGGGCCCTCTGTTACCGTGGGACGTGTCATTGATGTTTGGTGACTGTCACTTTTGATGTGCTTCTGATAGCCCGGCCTAAGTCTAGTCACCTCTACCCCGGTCTTTTTTATCCCGCCGGGACCACCCCTCTCACAAAGTCAGCATGCACCCAGCACCCAGCACCCAGCCGCACCTGGCACCACGCCAAGGGCAACGGGCGTGCGTCCCGTCCCCAAGCCTCCCTTCCGCGAGACTTGGCGCACGCAGCCGTTTGGACATTGCCCACGCTCCATGCGGACTGTGTCCCGCCAGACGGTGGGCCCTGTCAGAAGACACAGGAGGCCACACGGCTTCAGGCAACGGCCTCCAGGCACAGGAGCAGCTCAAGGCAGGCCACCCGGGCCGACAGACCCCACGCAGGCAGCCCCGGCATCAGACCGGCCCCCCGGTCACCTGCAGAACAGCCCTGCCGGGTGGCTCCTGACTGTGTGTGAGGTCCACTCTCCATGGGGGGCAGGAAGACATCCTCAGTCTCTGGATCGAGGACTCCTGGCCACGTGGTGCAGCCCAGTGAGCCCACGCAGCCCCTGCTTCGCGTTCGCATTCTCCCTACGGCCACCTGCCGTCATCGAAACTTCTATGCGGGGACTCTTCTCAGCTGTGGGCACTGATCCTGAGTCCAGGAGGTCAGGGAGGCCCTGTGAGAACCCAGGGGTCCTGCCGGCTGCCGGGAAAACTCTCCTGCCCCGTTTCCCTTCAAGCGCAAGGACGGACCTCAGCTGGTTCCTGTCGAGCCAGGCTGCCCAGCGGCCCGGGGAGGTGGCCCAGCTCTGACAGCCCCAGAGGCAGGCAGTCCTGGCCCCGTGAAATGGCGTGTGAGCACAGTCACTCCCTTTACGTGCTCGCGCATACAGCTAGGTTCGCCAGTCTCTTGGGGAGGGGCCCACGTTGTGCTGAACTGTTTGCTTTGCAAGAGGAACCCTGAGTGTGCGCCTACAAAGGCCGGAGGCTTGGGGCGTGAAAACAGGACGCGAGAACAGTCCCTGGGTGCGTGTCCCAAGTGCCCGAATTCAGTTCGCAAACAGTTCTGACATCTCTCGAGATCTTCCCCCTGAGCAAGGCTTGCAGAGACAAAGTCAGTTTTCGGGACTGTATTCTCAGGTCATCGTCCTTAAACGCCCTAGCCCGATGTTCCTTCTGGCAACCCGGAGAGGCTGGTGGCAGCTTCTGGAAAGGACCAGCTTTGGACGCGGGTCCAGGTTCAAGGCCTGTGTGGTCACTGGGTGTGGAGGCTTGCGCACACTGCTTCCCGTTCCTGAGGGTGTTTGCTCCTTTATAAGTCACAGTCCCGAGCAGGAAGGCCTACAGCTCACTGACCAGGACGCTTGTGACCGGGCACTGTGGCCAGTGGTGATGTGCGGAGTCTGAGGACCCCCACCTCTGTTATGGGCCTGGATTCTG